CTCACCCAAAAATCTTTACAGTAGTTTTATAAGTCAGCTTTGCAATGGAACAATGACTGTCTCAGTCAACTAACTTAATAAAGAGAAATGTTTAATTTAGCCCACAGTTTTGGAAATTCAAGTCCAAGATTGAGTAGCCCATGGCTTTTGGCCTCTAGTAAAAGCCACAGGTGAGAGAAGTGTGTCAGAGAAAGTAGTTACAACTCAAGCTAAGAACAAGAAAGAGGAAGCAACTCAGGCCCTCTTCAAGGGTACACCCCAGTGACCCAAGGACCTCTCACCAGGCCACACTTCCTACTGGTTCTGCTATTTCCCAATAGTGCTACTCAGGGGTCCAAATATTTAAAACTTAGGTCTTTGGGGGGGGGGGGGTCATTTAACATCCAAACAATAAAAAATGAAAATTTTTTCACTTAATTATGTCTTGAGACACTAGCAGGGATGGAGATACCTGGAAAATCTCACAAAAAAGAATCCCACAATTCACAGGTATTCATTTGGCTCTGAAAGTTGCTTTTGGAAAGGGCAGAAAGCAAAGTCTGATCCACACCTGGCTGCTTCTGCGTCAGGCAGATGCTGAGGCAGGCTGCAGAGCAGTGAGACATACCCGGGTCGGACATAGTCCTTTGGGCATGTGACCCAACAATCTCTGTTCGAGACACTGTGAAAGCTTTGCCTCTTCCTGATACCCTTTACCACCAGTGACCCATAGGTCCTTTCATCTCAGAAAGACACACATGCAAATTGTTCCTAGCACAACAAAAGTTCAACTGTTTTTTGGATCTACCAAGGTACAAAATGACAAACACCTAGTGGAAACAAGCCTTTGGATTCTGAATTGTGGTCTTTTTCTGGGCTACTGACTTGCAGCCTCATACTTGCTCTTGACATTGGGCAGAGACACGGAGCTGAAGCTCCCAGCAGCCACACAGCCAGGAGGGTCCTGGCTGAATAATTGAAACTCTGCTGACTAGGGCTGAGTCAGAGTGTTCAGTAGGTAGGTATGCTAATTGTATCTTTGGCTTATAACATTTTTAACCTAGGCTAGATTTCTTGGGACATAGCCCCATCATAACCTGAGGAGTATCTATATATACTCGTTTATCTATCTCTTGGGACATACCTGTCTGGAGACACTGAGAGAGAAGAATTTTCCCTTTCACTGAAAATCCCTTATCCTCACTTAAAAACGGAACTGCATATGACAAGGTAAGGGTTTCAAGGGTTGAGGGAAAGAAAATTCTAGAATAAAATATTAATTGAAGTCCATATTTTTCACCACAAAACTTTCCCTTGATTGAAGTGTGGCTGCTGCCAAAGACTGATATTCCTTTCATATACATTATTTCATGCACTTTTCACAGTGACCCCAGTGAGGATACTCAACACCTTTAATGATGACAGGACTCTGGCTTGTATTAGTGGCTAATACCTTGTCCATGAAGCAGGAAGTGACTGATCAGTGATTCAAAGCCAACAGATTTTGTGAAACCTGTGCTCTTCAACACCACTCTCCTGGCATTTCTGTTCTGGTGCTATGGAGCTTGCTGCATTCTCAAAGAAGCTTTTTCTATTGGGTGACAATTCCAACTAGAAAAAATAGTTTTCCTTTTGAGCTGAAATTTGCCTTTTTGTAAGTGATCTTCCAACACAGATACACATAATTGGCGCTTATTCTGTCCTTTGGGGCCACAAAAACAGAACCTGCTTGCCCAGAGTTATTACATAGTAACATTTCCCACCTCAACCTTGGTTTTCTCAGCTACAGGAAAAGCACAGGTCCATATCTCTTCCTCCTACAAGGTATTTTCCAGACCTTTCATTACTGATCACTTCCTGTAAACATAAAATCTGCCTGTACTATTTTAAGGGTCTCAGTGGAATAAATTGCTCATCCTGAAATTCTAAAAGCCCTACTATCAGAACTTGATTCTTTATGCATAACCTGAGTATCTCAAAATGCAATTTCAATTAATTTTCCCTAGATCTATCCTCAAAGGAGATACAAATCAGCCACTTGTCTGCCTGAAATTATTTTACATTCTTAAAGGTCATTACTTTGTATCTTTTTCCTTTCTGATGGAAATATTTGCAGTTCTAGTAAATTGATCTTCACGCAGCTTATCTCTTCACCCATCGGTGATTTCTGTACCTCCTCTTCGATCTAGTGCCAAACTGCTGCTGAATTTAGGACTGGACTCAAGTAGGCTGTCAAGCTCAAGTGGAAGCAAAAGGAGGCTGTTGGCATTGTATCTCACTAGGTTTTGTCCCTGGGGATGTGACAGAGCAGCAGCTACTGTTTAATGAGTACTTACTATGGGCCTGACAGCAGGCTGTGTGCTTTATTTTCAAATCTCTAATCCTCAGTTCTCTCTGGAATGGTTTTTGACTCCTAGTTTATAAATGAGGTCATGGTTTAGAGTAGATAAGCAGCTTGCCAAAGTTAGAGGGCTAGTGAGCGGCATTTGAACCCAGATGCATCTAATTCCATAGGCTAAGCATTTTCCACAACTCTGACAATACTGTGGGTTTTCTCAAAGATCAAAAACATGCACTGACCCTCAGACCACCATGAGTCAATGGAAAATACACACTATTCAAGAATAGCATATCCTTCCCCAAACAGGGCAACATTTGGCTGCACCAGCATACATCTCTTAAACACACAGTGAAAATTCCTCACCCAACCCACACTCTGATCAATACTACCCTAAACTGATTGCCTTGAAGTCTCAACCAGCAACTCCAATGCCTTTTTAGATGGAAATGTAAGTCATTTAGCAACTCACACAAAAGTGTTGGGTAAAAGTCCAAAAGCATTTCAAGCTGCTTGGCCCATGGCCCTCCCTCAAAAAAAAAAAAAAAAAAAAAAAAAAAAGCTAAGAATTGAATTGATGGGAAGAAGGCAGGAAAGAAGGACTTTATGAAGGCAAAGGGAGTAAGGGAGTTCAAGCAGTCATTCCAATAGAGTATGCATTCAATAAATATTTGTCCAGTAAACAGATGGACCAAATTGGTTTGAGAGAATGAACATGCCGAGCTTTCCTCTTCATTCAGTGGCCTTACCTACATCACAAAGCCACAAACTGTTTTTTAGAAAACTAATTTGAATAAGAAAGCATGCTCAGAAAACAGCATTTTATTTTTGGATTTGTTTTATTTTACTTTTATGGTCTACACAAAGAAGAAATGGCCTAAGTAGATACTACGTGGGTAGTTGGTAAAATATCAACATAAATATGAAAGCAATTGGGATGTGATGGGGTTGTGGGCAGAACATTCTGGATAAAATGTACAGCTCTTGCTTTCTAGACCTCTGGACCCCTGCTAAGTCTAATAGAAATGCTTCTCCGCTCAATTCTTCCTGCCACCACCCAGGTTTTGCAGAAGACTTCCTGTGACCACGAGGGACCACGTAGATGTGTTCTGTCACTGAGATATGATGTTACTGGGGAAAAAATGTTAGAAAACTTACCGGATAAGAGCCGTAAATGCCACGGCTAATAAATATAAATACAGGTAGCTGATAGAATGTGCAAGAATAACATAGGTATGGGGAAATGTCAGTTTCAGGAATGATTATTACAGAACAAATAGTTTTTCAACCATTTTCTTGAACTACATTCAGGTGTATTTCCTAATTAAAGAGGACAATAAGTGATTATAGCATGTAGCGACTATCCTTGCATGAATCTAAGGCATTATTTTAGTCAATATTATAACTACCCCCATGTTAAGTCCTGCTTACCCTCTTTATGCCATAATTTATCAACCATCTTAGACATCTCTGGTTTCTTCTGCTACCTGTTTGCCCCCACAAGTTACTAACCCTGAGACAGATGAGTAAGATGACTTTAGCAACATGAAAACTGATTCACAGTAGTATATTCTCCTTCATAACTCTGTCCATCTGGACTTTCTTGCTATTTAAGGCTCAGCTTAAATTCCATCCTTTCCAATAAGCCAGGCCCTATCACTTTTTTGACAATTCATTTCTGTTTTTCACATCCTATATTCTATACCACAATATTAATCCTTTACACTCTTTATTGCTTTATTCTCCAAGTATTGAATGGATGATCCCATTTTCTTCTTCTGTTGCTAAGTCCTCTATGGGAAGACATTTGATCTTTATTTCTGCCATCTACAGAACCGGGCTTATTGTGGGAAACACAATACAAAATCTGGAAGTTCTTATTGATTGGAGAAGACTTTAGTGGCTCATGCACAATTTTTCTAAGCTATCTCTTGCCATGGCTCTCAGTGTAGACAACTATTTCAGGAACATTCTGTCAGACTTTTCTAAACACTGGACTTCTGAGGGCTTTGAAACTGAATCAAAGAAGGGATCTGAGGTATAGAAAGAATCCTATGCTGACAGCCACATAGCTAGTGAGATGCCCAGGTGGGATTAAAGCTCAGTTTGCCTTCTGGAGTCCTTCACTTTAACCTCTGCCTCCTATGACAGAAGAGAAGCGGTAGATGGCGTTAAAATCACTTTAAAGGGTCAATGAGAGGCCAAAGTTATTACAGCCTTCATGTCATTTTAATGACTCATTCAGGAGGCTTATCTAGTAAATATTGAATGAATCAATGAATGCAAGAATGACTTCTGCTCAGTGTTCTCACTGACATCACTCTTTTAGCCCTGCCATTAGTTATGATTTTCACAGTACAGAAAAAGCAATGAAAGTTATAAAATTTACCCAAGGGCCCAGGGCTAGAGCCAAGAGACATGCCCATTCTGTCTTGTTCCAACGTTAGACTATTTCCTCCATACCCTCTGCCTCCCTGGAAGTTAAAGAGTGATTGAAATCACTTCTTCAAGATAGCAAATTGCTTTTTAGAATTCATTTTATATTAGTATATAATGAAGGGATATCAGGAGAGCCTCAAACTCAGGAGACATAAAACCACATTCACTGTAATTTTAGAGATTCAATGGGTTTTATCAGTAGCAGATACTAATAAGTTTATTGTTTTCTTTCATTTACTTCTAGAAGATCATTTTTAAGAAGATCAGAGGTGACTGATTTGGATTCTGTTCTGTACTTCTAAATCTGCAATTCTGCTCAAGTGATACACCCGAGGACCTTAGAACTCCAGAAACACCCAACTCACCCACCTCCACCATGGGGGCCATGACTTGGCTGTTGCCAGGCGTCTTGCTGGCTTTTCTTGCCCTCCCTACTGAAGGTGGTGTACTCAAGAGAGTCATCCGGCACAAACGACAGAGTGGGGTGAACGTCACCCTGCCAGAGGAGAATCAGCCAGTGGTTTTTAACCACGTCTACAACATCAAGCTGCCCGTGGGGTCCCAGTGTTCAGTGGATCTGGAATCAGCCAGTGGGGAGAAAGACCTGGCTCCACCATCTGAGCCCAGTGAGAGCTTCCAGGAACACACAGTGGATGGGGAAAACCAAATTGTCTTCACACATCGCATCAACATCCCCCGCAGGGCCTGTGGCTGTGCCGCAGCTCCCGACGTCAAGGAGCTCCTGAGCAGGCTGGAGGAGCTAGAGAGTGTGGTATCTTCCCTGCGGGAACAGTGCACCATGGGAGCAGGCTGCTGTCCCCAGGCTGCTGAAGGTACAAACTGGGGACTGGTCTGATCACAAGACTGCAAAATGGGGAGAAAGAATGGGCATAACAGGATACATCAGGTGTTTCCAAAGTGGGTTTCTGGGAACCTAAGCTCACCAGGTGTTGATTACAAAGAAATTTTAAGTTTTAGGATTAAGTAAATATGAACGATGTAGCTCTCTCTCTCCCCTGCTTTTGGAGAAGTCATGGTAGAAAACATTTCTCAGAGAGACGTTTAGGCCTTTGAGAAATCCTGCTTTGAAAAACCTCCATTTCACTTTAAGTGTCTGAAATTTATTTGTCCATGAAATATACCCATTCGCTCTCAAAAGCCCTTTGAATGTATCATGAAATTCATGCCCTAAAGAGCACTCTTGGAAAGGTCCTGATGACACTCCATCACCACACTGTACAAACAGGAAAACTGAGGATGGGTTGTTCAAGGTCCTGCAGTGAGTAGCCAAGTTAGCTCTTACATCACAGCATTCCACATCCCGTGGTTCTTAAACATATTTGGTGTTGCATGGGGTGGTGCTGAGTCTATTGGTATTAAAACAAAATTCCAATTTAATGGCTTGGTGATGATTAAAATGATGCCAACAGGGAATTAATCCCTATCTATGCAGCAAGCATAAACAACCCTTTCACTAAGCCTCACCTCAATACCCCTACCTGCGGATCTAGCAAAGAAGATAACCTTGGGCATAAGATGACACAGAGAGTAATAATAAACAACCTTTGAACATGCCTATGGGCTTCTGGAACCCATTCTTTCCCACTGATACTATATCCCCACAGACATCCCATTTTTAAGGAATTTTGCTGGTTTTCAGTCATGTCTTTATCTGTATTCCCTAAAGTCAATAGAACTGCAGGTATTCTGACAACTTCAAATCATAGATGAAAATCTCTATTTCTGCCACTCAGAAAGAATATATCAGGAAATATTTTGATAATTATTTCAATAGTAGATCTAACAGCCATAAATGGAATAAGTCTAATAGGACATGTTGTAGGTTTCTTAGACTTTTTTTTTTAAAGTTTTCTTTATGGAAAAGTTAGTTTATATTTTACTTCTGTCAACTCCATGGAAAAATGCAGGTCAAAGTACCCAATGTGATCAATGCTAAACAGTGGGCTAAAATCACTGTAGACGGTGCTAATACAAGTATTAGCCACACATATAATCTTAAGTTTCCAGTTGTCACAATTCCTAAAACAGAAACAGGTAAAAGTTGTCTTAACCACCTATTTTATTCAATGTGAAAAAAAATTTACTTTTCAGCATAGAATCAATATAAAAATTAAGAAATATTTCACATTCTATTCGTTTATGCTAAGTCTTTGAGATCTGCTATATATCTTACACTTACAGTTCATCTCAATTTAGACGAACCATAATTCAGTACTTAAGAGCCAAATGTTGCCAGTGGCCACCTTATTGGACATAGGTTTAGATTCTCAATAACTTTTTAAAAATTCCCTTCTCTCCTGCTGACAGGAGATAAATGTATTAACACAAGTGTATCTAGGTGCAGATAATATAACAGTGAGTTGTATTCTTCCCCTTGGTCTCCATGAAGGTTAGACCTATGGCTCTTATAAGTTGGGCCAAGACAATATTTAGAATTCAAAGGGCTGGAATCAGATCAGCTCCAACCCTGCCTTCTTCAAATCGACCCAGCACCTCAGCTTGCAGGAGATTGAAAAGACAGAGGTGCATGGGGTTTCTGCAGGAAGAACCAAATTGAAAGATGTCCTGACCCAGTTAGAAAGCCACTGTATAGGGACATCATTTCAGTTACAGAAAATTAGAAAGATTAGTCATGTAATCCATACACCAACTTGAATCAATCCCCTCTCCACACACACACACACACACACACACATGCGCGCGCGCGCAAAGAAAAAGATTTGGAAAAGAAAAAAGAGGAAATCTCAATGAATAAATACAAAAATTAGCTCTCATTGTCTTCATTTATATACCCCAGGGTAGTAGGCTCTTGGTCCCACTTGACCTATGAGGAAACTGAGTTCCAAAGAGTCTAAATCCCTTCCCAAATGTGCCACAGCTATTGAGGCAAATAGTGAGAATGAAGTTCCATTGAACAAGTATTTTTTCAGCATCTCTTAAATGTCTGGCCTTGACTGGACACCGGAAAGGCAGAAAAATAGCTGACCACAGTGCATGCCACAACACAGTGGGTCATGGGACTCCTTGAAAATGGGATGAAAATCATGGAGCCCCTGCCCATGATTGGAAATACACACACACACACACACACACACAAAACCTTTGCATGCAAGAATAGTTTCAGGGAGTACAGGTCAAGAACTGCTACCTGGTGTTGGATGTGAATCCATTTGATTTCATACACTAGATGAACAGGTTTTCAAGCCAAAGGAACCTGAAGGTGCAACTATTCTCTGGCTAAATTTGGGTCTGAGTTTTGTGGGTAGGCACCAAGAACTTCTGCTGCTTGAATTCACCTAAGAGCCTTTGTTCTCTCCATGGCAGGCCGCCTGGACACCAGACCCTTCTGCAGCGGCAGGGGCAATTTCAGCACTGAAGGATGCGGCTGTGTTTGTGAACCTGGCTGGAAAGGACCCAACTGCTCTGAGCCTGAATGTCCAGGCAACTGTCACCTTCAAGGCCAATGCATCGATGGACAGTGTGTCTGTGATGAGGGCTTCACTGGTGAGGACTGCAGCCAGCTGGCTTGTCCCAGTGACTGCAATGACCAGGGGAGGTGTGTGAATGGGGTCTGCATCTGTTTTGAAGGCTACACCGGGGCTGACTGCAGCCAAGAGATCTGCCCAGTGCCCTGCAGCAAGGAGCATGGCACCTGCGTGGATGGCCGGTGTGTGTGCCAGGATGGCTTTGCTGGCGAAGACTGCAATGAGCCCCTGTGCCTCAACAACTGCTACAACCGAGGGCGGTGCGTGGAGAATGAGTGTGTGTGCGATGAGGGCTTTACTGGGGAAGACTGTAGTGAGCTCATCTGCCCCAATGACTGCTTCGACCGGGGCCGCTGTGTCAACGGCACCTGCTACTGTGAAGAAGGCTTCACAGGCGAAGACTGTGGCAAACTCACCTGCCCGAATGACTGCCGTGGCCAGGGCCGCTGCGAGGAGGGGCAGTGCATATGTGATGACGGCTTTGCAGGTGCAGACTGCAGCGAGAAGAGATGTCCTGCTGATTGTCACAACCGCGGCCGCTGCATCAACGGGCAGTGTGAGTGTGATGATGGATTCAAGGGAGCAGACTGTGGGGAACTCAAATGTCCCAACAGCTGTAGCAGCCGTGGCCGCTGCGTCAACGGACAGTGCGTGTGTGATGAGGGCTACACTGGGGAGGACTGTGGCCAACAGCGGTGCCCCAGTGACTGTCACAGCCGGGGCCGCTGTGTGCAAGGCAAATGCATATGTGAACAGGGCTTCAAGGGCTATGATTGCAGTGAAATGAGCTGCCCCAATGATTGTCACCAGCACGGCCGCTGCGTGAATGGCATGTGTGTCTGTGATGATGACTACACTGGAGAAGACTGCCGGGATCGCCGATGCCCCAGGGACTGCAGCAACAGGGGCCGCTGTGTCGATGGGCAGTGTGTGTGTGAGGACGGCTTCACTGGCCCCGACTGTGCAGAGCTCTCCTGTCTGAATGACTGCCATGGCCAAGGGCGCTGTGTGAACGGGCAGTGTGTGTGCCACGAAGGCTTCGTGGGCAAAGACTGCAAGGAACGAAGGTGTCCCGATGACTGTCACGGCCAGGGCCGCTGCGAGGACGGCCAGTGCATCTGCCACGAGGGCTTCACAGGCCTGGACTGTGGGCAGCGCTCCTGCCCCAATGACTGCAGCAACTGGGGTCAGTGTGTGGCGGGCAGGTGCATCTGCAATGAGGGCCACAGCGGGGAAGACTGCTCAGAGGGTGAGTACCTGACACAATGAGTGTGATGACAACCACCGTGGGGTGTACACCTGGAGTGTGGTAGAGAGCTATGTTTAAATCTATAACCCACACAGACTTTTCTAATACATTAATATGCTAGATTCAATACACACACACACACACACTCTAACTCTTTGAGGGAGACTTATTCATTCTCTTGTTACAGGGCTTTCTGGCAAGGGGCTCAGAGGCTCAGAAAGGTATAATGTCTCAATGACACGCAGCTAATGCATCACAGAGCTGATGTTTGCATCTGCCTATGTCATCTATCCTGAGTTTAATATCCAAGTGCCCAAAGATAGCAGATGAAGTAACAACCTCTCTTTGACTAAATACCAACCTCACTTCTTACTCACTACTGACACTGAACTGATAGTAAATGACATTGTTCTTTGTGGAAGCAAACACTCAACTGAATTGAATTGATGGTGAGATTACATGAGAGAAACTGTTTTAAATGCACACTTAGCTAATGTCTAAATGCTGATCACCTACGAGGTAGACCTGTCTCTTAAATCATCTTCTCATTATTGTCTTGCTTCAACGAATGTGAACACCATTCCCAGCACTTAGCACAGAACATGGTATATAGTAAGTACTCAGGAAACACTGGCTGAACAAAAGCACAACAAAGAATTGTAATGTTCGTATTTACTGAGAGCCCTCTTTACTTCTTGCTCCATGTTATCTGACGTTATCTGGAGGAGAGCTGACATTGGTAGACAGGAATAAAAGGATGCCTCTGTGTTTAACGTGAGCTCCAAACTTGATGAGGCATGCAAACTTGGGCAAGTCCCTTTGCATCATTCACATCTAGAAAACCAACATTAAACCAAATGAACTGAAAATACACTTCCAGGGCCACAGATGTATAACACACGTCCAGGACAGGGAGTCAGACCCAGATTGCACTTTGCCATGTCAATGGCCTGAATTGAAACGGAGACCCAGCAAGAGGAGAAGTAGGAGGGGCTGCAGCAAAGATCACTGGGGAGTATGCTGTTGACCTGGAACTTCAGCCTGAAGGGCATGGACAAATTATGGCCAAAACAGCATCTAAAGATGGGTCATAGCAGGGTGCCCTTGAGGGGTTCTGGAATCTAGAGACAATCAGAAACTGGATGTCCAGGGGAGAATTTCAGAACTCTGTTGCCAAGAGTAGAAAAGACAGGGCAAGGGAAACAAACCTATTGGGATTTCACATGGTATGTCACTGACCCCAGATGTCCTTTCTTACTCTTGCCAGTGTCCCCTCCTAAAGACCTCATTGTCACAGAAGTGACAGAAGAGACTGTCAACCTGGCCTGGGACAATGAGATGCGGGTCACGGAGTACCTCGTTGTGTACACACCCACCCAAGCAGATGGCCTGGAAATGCAATTCCGTGTGCCTGGGGACCAGACATCTACCACCATCCGGGAGTTGGAGCCTGGTGTGGAATACTTCATTCGTGTCTTTGCCATCTTGGAGAACAAGAGGAGCATTCCCGTCAGCGCCAGAGTGGCCACGTGTGAGTCAGCTGTACTCCTCTGAGACACTGCACCGGCCTTGGGCCCATCCCACAAATCACCTCTTCACCTTCAGCCCACAGCCCTCTAGTTGCCCTGGGATAGTTGTATCAGTTCAGACCCTGGCACCCACTTAAGTGCATCAGTCTCTTATAGAAATGCCTCATTTCTACCAACTCTCTCCTTGCTCTCCCCGCCCCATATCCCTTTTACACTGCAGGTAACATTTAATAATTACTTGTTAATTCAGCAGACTGTTTTACCCACTCTATGTATACTAGCTCCTTTAACCCAATCCAGTAGGAGCTATTCTTAAGCCCATTTCACTGATGAGGAAACTGAGACTCTGGATGGTTAAACACCTCATCCCAAATCATGTAGCTAACAGGTATGGAGATGAGATTTGAATCCAGGCAGTCTTGGCAGATTTATGCTCTGAATCATTCTGTTACCTTTTTATAAAACTAGGACCTAGGGTTTTTTTAATGTAGAAACATTCTATTTCCAGTTGTTCCCTTAAGAGCCCAGGATCAGTGTAATTATCCACAGCCTGGAAAAGCAAGTTGTGGCTGGAAAAAGGCCCTTTGTGGCTTAGTGAGAGCAGCATCTGCTGCCACTTGCTGCATGCCAGGGGAGAGGCTCTGCAGTCCACTAAAATGTGTCACTTGGATGTCCATGCATTCCCAAAGGGCAGGCATATTTACTCCTCCCAGGGAAAGAAAGCAAGGCTCAGGCCATTCTGTGCTACTTCCCAAGGTTGCAGTGCTTGTCATCATGGAATTCACATTCTAGCCCAGTCGGACTTCAAAGCCTATGTTTGTATTAGCCTCATTCTTATGAAATTGCCATTATTTAATCATATAATTGGTCCTAATGTTAACTTTATACTGCCTCACAGTAAAAAACAAAGAGCAACAACAAAACAAAACAAAACAAAACAGAAGAACCTTCAAACAGACTCCAGCTCTGGGATTCAGCCCCGGGGCTCTGGCAGGCATGCAGCCTGGCATCATGGCTGGGTGGCCCCCACCACACACCTGCCCCATTCTTATATTATGTTTGTGATATTCCTTGTAGACTTGCCTGCCCCTGAAGGCCTAAGATTCAAATCTATCAAGGAGACATCTGTCGACGTAGAATGGGACCCTCTGGATATTGCTTTTGAAACATGGGAAATCATCTTTCGCAATATGGTATGTAGCACTAAGAAGCTAGTGTATTGAATGAACCTCAGTGATCTGAAACAAAGATGCTGCAGACTTCTACATTCACTTGATTTCCTTAGCATCTTGAGTGTTTGCATATATATTTTGAGGGGTGTTGTTTTTCACTTGACTTTATGTCACTGAGTATAGCATGGGGAGCTGAGAGCCAAGATAAACCTAACTTAAGTCATTTCTAGGTTCCAGTTACTCCTTCTAGTCTTGCAAATCTTGAGTCCAAGGCAAAGAAGAGAAGAAATGCAAATCTGCCTCTCAAAATGCCTCCAGGCATTTCTCACCCTAAATCACACAGCTAACAAGTGGCAGAGAAGGGATTTGAACCCTGAGTGTCTTGGCAGAGTTCTTCATCACTGCACTGTGAGTGAACTTGAGCAGCCCTCCTCTCCAGGCACAAAAGCACAACTTAGGCATGGAAACTGGTTTCTGAATTTAATCCTGGGCTCTGCTACCAACTTCCTGTGTGATCATGAAACAGTTGCCCTACTTCTCTGATGCTACCACAGGAGCCCCTAAGCCTGGGCTTCAGAATTCCCTGAACCCTCACATTCTGTTATTACCTCTGTACATCAAACAGAGGTTTAGGAGAGGGAGAAGTATACTTGAGAAGCATCTTTACCATGTCTACATCCTTAGCAGCTGACATCTTGATCTGCATAGTAAGTGCCTAATGAAAAAACTGAAAGAAGAATAAAAGAGGAACAGATAAGTGTTGAATTGAAGGAGCTGACACCTCCTCTAAGTCTCACCATGATGCCTGTGTCTTTCAGAATAAAGAAGATGAGGGAGAGATCACCAAAAGCCTTAGGAGGCCAGAGACCTCTTACCGGCAAACTGGCCTAGCTCCTGGGCAAGACTACGAGATATCTCTGCACATCGTGAAAAACAATACCCGAGGCCCTGGCCTAAAGAGGGTGACCACCACCCGTGAGTATCACCTCGAGTGCTGCTAATGCAGTGATGAAGTCAACTGTACCCCACAACATCTCTGTTCAACCGTGCAGCCTCTCATAGCATCTATTTCAATTAGCTTTTGTTGATGCAGTGGCTTAAAACAATTCTGCACCTTGGGGATGTACAGTTGGCTCAGTTGAGCAATGTGTCTGTTCTTGACCTGGGCTCACTCATGTGTCTGAGTAGGATGGGGGCTGATTGGCTTAGGATGGCCTTAGACAGCATGGTCTTTCCAGCTCCACGTGGTCCCTCATCCCCCAGGATGCTAGCCTGGACCTGTTCACACGGCTATTGTGCAGGATGAAAACTGACACTCCATCACTTCTGTTAAAGCAAATCTTAAGGCCATCACAGATGTAAAGTGTGGGGAAATAGAGCCATCTCTTGATGAGAAGAGCTTCAAAATCACAAGGGGCATGGGTTCATGAAGATAAGTAATTGAGGTCATTACTAACTGTCTACTACATCATCTAATATTAGCACCCAGCACCACGTCAGACATAGGACAAAAATCAATGTTATTGTATTTTTCAAGAGTAGAAACTTAAGATTTCAAGAAATGAAATTGCTTTAACACCACTTAGTTAATACTATCAGAGCCACAAGTTTAAGCCAGGGTTGGTTTCTAACTTTAACCCCATTACCACTAGCATTGACTAGTCTCTGGTTTATGCAGAATGTTGATTCCATCTGTTCAACAGAAACCTAAATAAAAATTCACATAAGGGGCAGATGATTGGCACAATGGGTAAGGTGCTGCTTATGCTGCCTGCCTCTCATATTGGAACGCCTGGCTTCGAGTCCTAACTCTACTCTGATCCCCTATTCCTGCTAATGCACCCTGGGAGGCAGCAGGTTGTTATTCAAGTCCCTGTCATCCATGCAGGAGACATGGGTTGAATTCCAAGCTCCCCAACTTTGGCTTGGTCCAGCTCTGGCTATTGCTGGCATTTGAGAATTAAACCAGAAGAATTGGAAAGTCTCTGTCTTTGCTGTTGTCTCTGTCCCTCTTTCTTTTTTTCTTTCCCTCTCCCTCTCCCTCACTCCATTATCTGCTTCTTCCTCCTTCTCCTTACATATACACTGAATATTTAAAAAGTTTTACTCAATACTAATGATGTCAGAAATTATTGAGGTAGAGTAGGATTTAGCACTACTAAGACCATCTGGTGGTCAAAAATTCTGAATTTGGGATTGTTCTCCCAGAAAGCAAATTTTTAAAAAGAAAGAAAATAATTTGTGCATTGCCATTCAGGAAAACCTCTATTTTATTTTTTTCAAAATAGCACGTGTGCCAAATCTTTAAGGAATAGTCTCTTCTTGGCAGGGGGTTGTTGGAAAAGTTAAATCTGTTGACTAAGGACAAGAAAGAACATCTTGCATTTAAACATTTGCACATTTTGTGTAGCTCAGAGCCAACTCATAGAATCGTCTCGTTCTTAAGCAAGTGTTTTCCATCATCCTGACAACAACCCTCTGTGGTAGGTAGCAGGCAGGTAGCAACAGGAAAAATCATTAGATCACCAGAAAGGCAACGCACAGAAATGATCAAGCAAATGCATATTCGCTGTGGAGTAACCACATGGAAAACGCAGAGGACATTTCTTTCATCCCCTTTTTCTTTCTAATTTAAATTTAAGGATTGGCTGTTTTCTTCTTATTGCAGGACAAATACTCCACCATTTGAAGTTCTATAACCATAAACACCAACACCAATGAGGGACAGATATTTACCTGTCCATTTTGCTAGCATGTCTGAGCTTTTTCCAGGCTCAAAGGACCTTAAACTTTGTTGCAAAACACATGTCACCCATTCTGTCAAGGCTGAATTAAAACTACCATTGGCTTATGAGGACTTTTTTTAAAAGAAGCATTGTCATATGGTAAAAACTGAGTTAAGTTTGGATTAACTGAATCCTATCTTCACCATTCACCATCACCTTGGAAAAGTCCATTTCTTTCAGCTTTAAGTCCAACACATGAAAAATGGGTTTATAGCATCCTGTTTTTAAGAATAAAGACATAAATGACCTAGCACATGATACATGAGCACAGAACAATGTTAGTTTTCACTATTGAAGAGTCCAAAGTCTATTGTGATATCAATGTCCTTGACTGAATCTTAACTTCTTTAATTAAAAGTGTGCTAAGGAAGGCAGTAGGAATACTTTGAGTGCTTGTTGGCATTTATGTAGGATGGTCAGGTTCATTACCAATTTGAATCAATTTTCACTGTGCATTTTATGGGTTTATTATCTTGTGAGCTGAAACCGATGAACTAACATGACTTCAAAAATAAACTCTGCAGCTGCCTCATAGTCAACAATGAATTATTTCTCATTCTCACTCTCTGCAAAAGCCAAGTTTATTTCATTTGTACTGTCTACCCAATCAATGCCAAAAACATGAACTTAAGTATTTAAAAAGAAGAAAGAAATGTTTACTCAAGGTAGAACATGTTCCTGCCTTGACACTGGGGATTACAGAAGGCCCAAGACCCACTGTTGGAATGAATGAATGACCCCATCTAAATTGATTCACACTGTAAATAAATCCATTACAGATCAATGAGAAAAGTGAGACAATAAAATGCTCTTTAAGGACTGACTATTGCAGTCATAGGAAGCAAGTGTACATTCACCTGATTACAGCAAGGTCAAAGGAGGCTTTTTGTTAGGGGGTGTCATGCATGAGGGATTTTGAAGGGCGCATAAAAGATTTTAAGTGGGGGAAGGGTTAGCGTCAGGGAGAAGAAACAAAGGAGGAGCACGTACAAAAACCAAGAGGTGACAAACAGCATGGGCTGCTCCCAAGCTCTAAGGAGCAGGCTGTCGTGGCACAGCGTAGACACGGCATGAGGTGAATGAAAGACAGCAGGAAAGCCAAGAGGAGGTACAAAGATAGGCAAGGCTTGAGATAGCGATGAATTCTCATCAACAATAACTTTCCATGCACTATCAAGACCATCTACTGTCTTACTTTTCTACTCTGTCATTCTCATAGAAAAGTTATCAATCAAGTCAATTTCCTACCAAATAAAGTAACCCCCACTGTGTGTCCTCACCTTGTGAAAATAGTAACAATAACATTGACAAAGGAAGGACCATGCATCATGTCACTGGCACGTGCCAGGCTCTGTGCTAGATGCTTTACAAGTCTTGTCTGCATTGGTATTTGAAAAGGGCAAAAATTCCAAAGGCAGCTATCATTGTCACCATGTACGACTTACCAAACAGGAAACTGAAGCACAGAGAGGTAAAAGAAGATCAAGCTGTCACTCGCTATCTAAACGCACAGCCCTGTTCTGCAGGACAGCGAGGTCCTCTCTCTGCTTAGTCATGGCACTGGCCTTCATCTCTGAAACAGCTCTCTCCTCTCCCCGGCACAGGCTTGGATGCCCCCAGTCAGATCGAGGTGAAAGATGTCACAGACACCACGGCTCTGGTCACCTGGTTCAAGCCCCTGGCTGAGATTGACGGCATTGAACTCTCCTACGGCATCAAAGATGTACCCGGTGACCGCACCACCATTGATCTCACACACGACGAGAACCAGTACTCCATCGGGAACCTGAAGCCTGACACCAAGTATGAAGTGTCCCTAATCTCCCGCAGGGGTGACATGTCCAGCAACCCGGCCAAAGAGACCTTCACAACAGGTAACAGGTTTTCCCCTGTTAACAAGGGGAAACATCTCCATTTTCTCCCATGTTGGGTATCGTCCAGGCTCATTTGACAGTTAAAAAGTGAAGGAAGGAATTTCTACTCATTTAAATTTTATTTTAAAATACTGTAGCAATCCTTCATTTTTCAAAGAAAAAATACCCCAAACAACATTCCAAAGTACTTTTTTTTCTACACACATGCACACGATTCATGGAAAAAAATTAATGGAAATATTGGGTCTAGCATTGTAAATACCCACATCCCATATCCAAGTGCCTGGGTTCATGTCCCAGTTTGACTCCCAGTTCTAGCTCCCTATCAGTGCATACCATAGGAGGCAACAGGTGATGACTCAAGTAGTTGGGTTCTTGCCACCCAAATGGGAGACCTGAATTGAGTTCCTGGCTCCTAGTCAGTCATTGCAGGCATATGTGGAGTGAACCAGAGAATGAGAGTTCTCTCAGCCACCCGTCTCTCTCCTTTCTTCGTTTCTCCCCATTTCTCTCTCTTTCCTTCTAAAATAAATAAATATATAAGCCAGTCATGTTTAAGATTTATTTATTTATTTGAAAAGCAGAGTGATGGGGGGGGGGGGGCTGGGCCAGGCTGAGGCCAGAAGCCAGGAACACCAAATGGATCTCCCACCTGGGTGACAGGGACCCAAGTACTTGAACCATCCTCTGCTGCTTTCTCTGTGACGTCAGCAGAGAACTGGATACTGGATCAGAAGCGGAGCAGCCAGTGCTCTGACATGGGATGCAGGTGTTGCAAGCAGTGGCTTAACACACTGCACCACATCACTGGTCCTTAAGTAATTTTTTAAAAATTAAGTTTATTGGGAATGATGCTGTGGGGCAGCAGGTTAAAGCCTGTAGCCTGCAGCGTTGGCATCCCATATGGGCAACAGTTCAAATCCCGGCTGCTCTCCTTCCGATCCAGCTCCCTGCTAATGTGTCTGGGGAAGCAGCAGAGGATGGCCCAAGTCCTTGGGGCCCTGCAGAAGAAGCTCCTGGCTTCAGAATGGTGTACCTCCAGCCGTTGTTGCCATTGGGGGAGTGAATCAGCAGATGGGAAGACCTCTCTCTGTAACTCTATCTTTCAAATAAATACAAAAAGAAGTAAGTTTATTTTGGTATAAAAATTTAGAAACCTATACATAGTTCTTCTAATAATATGCATTTTTGATGAACTTTTTGAATACCTCATAGAAGATGCTAGTCTGATGCTCTCAGACCAAAGTTCTGGTTAAAGTAAAATTCAAATAAATATTTATAAAATAAAATAAATACTATGGAAAATATTAGTGATGAGGAAACCATCTTACTTCTTTATGTTTAAAGTAGCAAGGTATTAATTCTTCCTTGAATAAATATTTTTTCAGCACTCAATAAGCACTGTGTGGGTTATCAGAAGTAGCAGTAAGAAGGCACAAAAGATCAGTTCTCACACTCAGGAGCTTATTTGTAAGTTTCACATTATTCTTTAAGCACAAAGTCTGAGAAAAACTCAAACGGCACGAGTGTCACCCAAATGATTAGTATCTGTTTAAATTTGTGCGTGAGAGGCCAGCATTGTGGTGCAGCGGGTTAAGCCCACATCCCACATCAGAGTGCTGGCTTCTCTGCCTCCCATCCAGCTTCCTGCTAATGCGCCTGGGAAGGGAGAAGACAATGGCCCAAGTACTTGGGCCCCTGCTACCTACGCAGAAGACCTGGATGGAGTTCCTGGCTTCACCCTGGCCCTACCCTGGCTGTTATTTTGGGAGTGAACCAGCAGATGTGAAAGATCTCTCTCTCTGTGTCTCTCCCTCTATCACTCTGCCTTTCAAATAAATGATGTTTTTTTTTTTTTTAATAAATGTGTGCATTAGCTATGGAGACTGAAGAAAGAGGGGAGGAGTGATTATGTCATTTCTGTCCAGCGGCACCTTTCATATGTTCCCTCCTTTCTCAAACAGGCCTGGATGCTCCCAGGAATCTCCGACGTGTCTCCCAGACAGATAACAGCATCACGCTGGAATGGCGGAATGTCAAGGCAGCCATCGACAGTTACCGAATTAAGTATGCTCCCATCTCTGGAGGCGACCATGCTGAAGCTGATGTCTCAAAGAGCCAACAAGGCACAACCAGAACCACTCTCAAAGGTGAGCTCCGCACCCTGCATGCAGCCAGCCTCACGGGTCCTCAAAGCATGGGTACCTGCTCCCACAAGTCCCTACTGCAACCCTCTAGAGGGAGAAGTGGGTCCAGTTCGCAGCAATTTCTCCCCCTTGAGCTGCAGCAGGTTAGTATGTAAAACTTCCAGACATTGTGAAATCATAGCCACCAGGGACAAGTTCAAGGCCAATTTTATGGCCTCTCAAAGCCTTTTCAGTTTCAGGCTGAATACCAACCTACACGTTCTCTCCTAGGTCTGAAGCCAGGAACAGAGTATGGGATTGGAGTCTCTGCTGTGAAGGAAGACAAGGAGAGTGACCCAGCAACCATCAATGCAGCCACAGGTGAGGCACGCCTTGAATTCTTACTGCCACTGAGCTGGCTCTAGGCAGACAGGATAGGGCTGATGGGGCAGACGTCTCGTTAGAAGGAAAAAGTAGAAGCCCCGGGAGGTGAAAGGGTCTGTAAATCTACCCCAGGTGTTCATATTCAAAACTAACATCAGCTCAGCCCTCCTAAATGAAGCCAACACTTCTCTATATATATACAGAAAGGGGAACAAAATTGGTTTTTTTTAAAGATTTTTTTTATTTACTTGAAAGAGTTACAGAGAGAGGGAGAGGGAGATACAGAGAAAGAGATTCTCCATCCGCTGGCTCACTCCCCAAACGCCACAAAGGCTAGGACCAATCCAAGTCAAAGCCAGGAGCCAGGAGCCTCAGCCGGGTCTCCCACATAGGTGCAGGAGCTCAGGAACCTGGGCCACCCTCCTCTACTTTCGCAGGTGCATTAGCAGGGAACTAGATTGAAAGTGGAGCAGCTAGGACTCAAACTGGTGCCCATATTGCATGCCAGCATCACAGATACCACATCACCAGTCCCAAGAACTGGATTTTTGAAGAAAAATTGAAACCAGATTTTATAAGAAATCCAGACACTTTTGTAAAGCTGATAACCAATTCCATGTTTCAATGAACAACTGTCTAGCCAAAACACATCAGGGAGTAGGGAGATTTCTGCTGAAAACACTGAACTTTTATCAAGCAGATTTTACGGGGAGAACCATTGCAGCCAGAGGCTACTGCCTCTGGGTGGGGATAGAGAAGGGCTACATGATTTGAAGTAATTGAGTATTTGTTCAAGTTTTCTTTTTGTCCTGGAAAATTTGCACTGAAAAAAAAAAAAAAAAACCTCCTCTACTCCTCTACCTCTCCATCAGCCTCCATCAGACCTTCCTGGGTACTGTGGGGGAGGAGGAGACTGGTGAGGAAGGAGGACACAGATGATGCTGTATCAGGCTTCCACATTATGCAGGTGCCAATGCTGGGACTCACTTGCCTATGCTTTGTTTTATTCACCCTTTGATTTGGGATCATCTTAGTTTCAATTGCAAGTGTGAGAAATCATAGATTCCTCTGTCCTTCACCCAGTTTTCCCAAGGGGTAGCATCTCTCATAAATGTATAACAATATTACAACTGGTAAGTTGGCATTGATGCAATCTATGTACTTTGTTCAGGTTTCACCAATGCTGCATGCACTCGTGTGTGTGTGTGTGTGTGTGTGTGTGTGTATGTTTAGTTCCATGCAGTGTTATCACACATGTGGATTTATGATTTTACCACTATAGTCAAGATACAGAATGCTTGTACCTCTGGTAAAAAGATCCCCTGTACTACCTTTAAAAAGCCACAGCCACCTCCCTTTCTTCCCCTCTGCCTAACCTTGACATTCACTGATCCGTTCTTCATCTCTATAATTTTAGCATTTCAAGAATGCCATACTAATGAAATCTTACATGGAGTGGCCCATTCAAGATACCATAGCAAAAACGCCCCAGGCTTATGGCTTCCAAGCAGAAGAAATTAATTTTTTGCAGTTCTGAAGGCTGAAAAGTACAAGGTCAAGGCCCCAGCAGATGCCATGTCTAGTGAGGCCCCTTCCTGGTTCAGAGATTGCTGTGTCTTCACTGTGTCCTCTCCAGGACCACTTTTCTCAGGGCACCAACCCCATTTGTGAGGCCTTCCAAATACCACCACATGGGTGTTAGGTTTCAACACAGACATTTTGGGGGGACAATGTCTAGCCCATGACAATACAGTGTGTAACCTGTTGCAATTGGCTTTTTTTCCTTCAGCATAATTCTCTTGGCAATTCTCTAAACTGTTTCTTGCATCAATAATCTATTTATATGGAATGCTTTTAGCTGAGTGGCATTTTGTGGTACAGATCTATCAATGCATTATTTTTAATCTTCCAAAAGTTGGATGAGTTACAGTCATGCATCACTTAAGGACAGGAAAGTGTCCCGTGAAAGGCACAGTGAGGTGATTCCACTATTGTAGAAATGTCAGAAAATGTCCTTAAACAAACTACATTGTAAAGGCCAATCCCTCAATGTGGCCTCTTGGGACAAGGTTGAGATGTGTAAAGCTGCTGCCAGCATTCTGTAAATAGCATTCTGTTTGTGGTAATTAGAGTAAATAATGGTTAAAAGTACAACATAGTGAATACATAAACCAGTAGCATGGTGGACTGTCATTGTCAAGTATCTGTGCTATCAGCATCACAGATACCACATCACCAGTCCCAAGAACTGGATTTTTGAAGAAAAATTGAAACCAGATTTTATAAGAAATCCAGACACTTTTGTAAAGCTGATAACCAATTCCATGTTTCAGTGAACAACTGTCTAGCCAAAACACATCAGGGAGTAGGGAAATTTCTGCTGAAAACACTGAACTTTTATCAAGCAGATTTTACGGGGTAGAACCATTGCAGCCAGGGGCTACTGCATCTGGGTGGGGATAGAGAAGGGCTGAACATAATCACATGAGCTATGTGTTCATACAGCTGGCTATATGGTTTGTTTACTCCAACATCATCACCACAGACACAGGAAGAATGCATTGTGCTCTGACGTGGCAACAGCTACAGGGTCACTAAGCAACAGGAGTTGTTCAACTCCATTATATTCTTATGGGACCACTGTCCTTCTTGAACTCCACCATTTACTGAAACGTCATCATGCACATGGCTGTAAGGAACTGTAAATAGGCCTATTTTACAAAGGTGGAGACGGAGACTCAGAGGTGAATGTCTTGCAGCCACATAGCCCGTATGTGGCAGACATAGGAGTCTGGCCAAGTGAGTTGACTGGCAGCCCCAGAAGCAGCCCTGCCTCATAGTCTGAAGAGTGTTCATCTCTGTTTCACCCACAGATTTGGATGCACCCAAGGACCTTCGGGTTTCTGGCACCACTGACAGCAGTCTGACCCTGCTCTGGAGGACACCTTTGGCCAAGTTTGACCGTTACCGCCTCAACTACAGCTCCCCCATGGGCCAGCCAGCAGAGGTGCTGCTCCCGAGAGATAGCACCTCCTACATCCTGACAGGGCTGGAACCAGGACAGGAATACAGCATCCTCCTCACAGCAGAGAAGGGCCGACACAAGAGCAAGCCTGCGCATGTGAAGGCATCCATAGGTGAGTGCACCCGAGCTTCCTCCAAACCCGCTGGTGATCCTGAGATTTGTGGATCCTGCCAGCCATGTTATCCACCCACGAGAAAGCCAGATGGGGAAACATGCTGCTTTGTCTACCCACGAAGCCTCTAAATGCCACTTTGAAACAACTGATTGTCTTTTCTGAATATGAAATTTTCTTCTTGTCAACTCATTCAGCAAATTTCCCTTGCTGGGCAATAGTGATTTTCTTCCTAGGAGAAGTTGAAGCATCAGGATTTGTATTTATTTTTGTTTTCCTGTTCCTGTTGTGTGTTTCACAGAATATTCTAAATTGTTATTTCCTTTCTTTCAGCCTAATAATTCATTTACTTTTCATTAGATTTCTTTTAAAGATGCCAAGGAGATTGGTAATAATTCTGTGGTTATTTCCCATGAAATGTTTCTGTTCCAGGTCTACTGCTTTTTTCCAAAGTCGCCCCAGAAAGCTTGCATATGGTCCTTGAGCTTCCACTATGCCCTTCTTATGTTTTCCTTTTCTCTTAGTCAGTAAGAGGTTAACCAAGTTTTTCCATGATGGCAGCTCAGTCCTGACCTCCAGTGCCCCTTCTAGCCCATTCATCCTGCTCACTGAACCTGCTGTCATGTCTCCTCAGTTGCTACATGGAAGAGACAATCAGGAAAAAAAAAAAAGTCTCTTCCTATACAAACAGTATGCATTTCAATATCTGCCACCAAATATTCAAGATGTATAGGTGGAAAAGTTTACTTATTTCAGGTTTGGCAAGTAACAGTATTTACTTTAACTAGCAAGCATGTATTAAAAATCTGCATGCACTGGACAGCAATGGTATTGGAGCAGAAATGAGTCCCCAGTCAGCACTGTTATGTTGACTTGTGTGCACCTGCTCACAGTCCTTCGGGTAGACTAGATGTTAAGATTAGTGGAGGCAGAGTGTTCCAGGAACACAGTGGCAGAGGTTTCCAGGAGCATGGAGGCAGGGGACTCTAGGAACACAGAGACAGGTGCCCAGCCCAGGCCTGAGAGAAGGGACTGAAGAGTAGCTGAGAAGATACTTTAGAAAAGATGATGCTTGGCTGAGTTCTGAAAAAGGAAATGGAGTTGAGCAAGCAGCGGAGGAACATTTCCAGCAGGAGAACCAGTATTTGAAGGCGTCAAAGGCGTCAGGAAGTCTATATTGATGAGATGTAAGCTGTGCAGCCCTGCTAACCCTGCTACGGGGTAATACTAGAGACTGTTGGGACAGCCTTGAAATGGCCGTGGATACGACCTTAAGGGGCTTGGGTGTCGCTCTTGACAGGAAGACTCACTGAATTTTCATTCCCTATATCTTATGCCTGCAAGATGAGACGGAAGTTCTTTTATCTACTCTGTGGGGTCTTTAGGCTTGAATATGCCCATCCCCCAGCTGCGGGAGAGGCTCTCTCCCATAAGTGAACATGAAAAGTGGGTCTATCCTCTAGCCAGAACATCTACAGGATGGTGAGAATCTAAAGGTCTTGGTACTGCCAGAAATTCCTCCAGGCCAGCTGCTCAACCTACCATGGATACAGAAATGGAATTTCAAAATTCTGATTTCCCAGGCCCATTGACATTTTTCAGAGGGTAGATTCCTGTGCACAGCTGTAAGAGAGAGACAACAGCCTTTTCATAGAGAAATGCCAAAGAAATTCAGTGTGGTGCTATACAGTGGGAACACTTGGCTTCCTGGGACTGAGCCCACAGCTGTCATTTGCTTAGGAAATGTAGAGTCAGCATTTATGGTCCCCATCTCAAATATTGTCTGCTTTATGTTTTATTCATAGTATTCCCCCTCCTTTTTTAATCCTTAACCCTCTCCCTTTCCTTTGTCTACCAATTTTATTCATGAACATTGTGCATTTTACTTATTTCTTGATAGTTGTAGCATCCACTACAGACATGGCTAAAGTGCTGCCTCCCTAAATAATAACCCAATGCTGTTTCTTGATTTTGCCTACCAAAAACAATGGAGGAATAGCCAGAATTTTTGCTGGAAGTATCATTAGCATGATTATTACTATTGACTGAGCAAAATGACATTTACCTGAAAATGACTGAATACATGAAGCGGAGGTGAGAGACACTGTGAAGATTATTAGTGACATCAAAAAGCTGATGCCAAGAGATGAGATGATGTTCACCATGAAGAAACATTTTTCCAACACGTATCGCCTCTTCTCTCACCAAATGTCTTTCCTATAACAGCTTCACAGGGAATCCTGGTCCTCCCTACCTCTCCCAGGATGACTCGCCTGTCTCTTGCAACCTGGCATCTGAAATTTCTTTCATAATTGAAGAAAAGATTTAACATATGGATACTTGGAGAGGAAAGACAGTGACTTTATTCACACAAAGGGATGCATGGTCAATGTAGCTGAGTCCCTGACAAGTGGGTTGGGATGGCAGGGGGAAAAGAAAAGAAGGAAGTGGGACAGAAAGGGACACTTAAGAGCCATAGGATCAGTTTCACTGTTCGCTGAGCTTTGGTTTTGCCCTGCATCTCTTTATGCACAAGGACTGCTCCTGAGTTTAGTTGTGCTTAAATCTCATGGCCAAGTATAATCATTGTAGCTGGAGGCACTGTTTCTGGCCACACAAGGGCCATTAGGTTGAAGGAGAGCTGACTATCCTTCTTTTCTCCTTCTCTACATACAACACCTTGAACTTGGGATCCCTGTCTCTCATAGAGACTAGGTTTAGGAGGTTAAGAACTGCTAAAACCTTGAATGTGAGCTCCAGGACGTGATTTGAAATTATATGAGGAGTTTACAGATTAGCATCTTCTGTACAGTGTCAGATGGTTGATACTTTAGATTTTGCCAGGCCAGGGAATCTCTGATACAATTAAAGCAGTGATCAATAACATGTGAGTGATCACGTTGGCCATGTTCTAATAAAACTTTATTTATAATGACAAAACTTAAATTTCATATGACCTACTTGTTTCATGAAGTACTATTCTTTGGATTTTTATCAATCATTTACAGATGTAAAAACTGTTGCTGGATTGGTGACTATATCAGAATGGGCAGTAGACTAGATGTACACATTAAATCACTATTTGTGAACCTCTGTTCTAGATGTGGAAGAGTGTAAACTTTGCCAATGTGAAGTGATTAGGAAAACAGTTTTCAGAATTTGGAAAATTTTGAATTAAACAGATTCCACAATAGAGATGTTTCTTCTGCTGAAAACAAAGGGTCCTCCATCAAATTGCAAACTAAGACTTTCAAGTTAGAAGTTGATTTTTGTGGACACACAGGGCTCCTTTGAAATTAGCAGCAATGGAAGGCATAAATAGGAAAATGATTTACTTTTTGAAATGAGCTAAGGAAGATTCAACTCTTTTGTTTACATGATTAATTTCCAGAAAAAAAATTTTTTGCTAGGTCATGCAAAGTCCACTTAAGCCCAGCTCTGGGAAAATATCCCCCTTAGGCAGATTCAGACAAGCTAATTTTTATTTTACTGAATCCTGTGTGCTCAGGATACAAAAGAAGATGGTGCTTTCAATTTTCATTGAGCTTAACAATCTTTGTTTCTCCCAGGGCCTCAGTCATTCTTTGTGTCCAAAAAGGAACGATTTTTCTAAGACTTGTTGCCTTCCTCAGTTCTATCTTGCCAACCCAATGTTCATTTATCTCTGATCTTCCCCCAAACTGACCTATGTCAATTGATCTGAACTCCTACAACTAGCTCACCCTAATTATAAACTGTAAAACATACCATCCAGAGGAGACAGAGGCAGTGCAGAAAGGAAGGGAACCCAAGAACAAGTAGGGTCAATAGTCACAAAATACAGAAAGCTACACAGCTCAGCCCAAGTCATGCAGAACAGCTGAAGGCCAGCTCCCTGTGATGAAAATTGGAACTGAAGCCTAGAGTCTCACTGGCATGGATGTAAAGGGTTTTCTAATTTACAGGATACTGGCCAATAGGGAAATATGGTTCCCAAAGGAAAAGCCTAAATATGCATGAAGGCGAAATGTGTATTGTTTCTCTGTTGATGTTTGTAATGGGGGCAGCACCAGCAGGGGATGCAGCGAGGGAAACACAGAACTGGGATGCTGATGGCCTTTCAGCATGGACCGTGGGTTCTCAGAAAGAAAGCATTTTGAAGAGTTGTGTAACTGACCCCATCTCTGTCCTTATTCAGAACAAGCCCCTGAACTGGAAAGCCTCACCGTGACTGAGGTTGGCTGGAATGGCCTCTCACTCAACTGGACCACAGCTGACCAGGCCTACGAGCACTTTGTCATTCAGGTGCAGGAGGCCAACAAGGTGGAGGCTGCTCAGAACCTCACGGTGCCCGGCAGCCTCCGGGCTGTGGACATCCCGGGACTCAAGGCTGCCACCCCCTACAGAGTGTCCATCTATGGGGTCATCCAGGGCTATAGAACACCAGTGCTCTCTGCTGAGGTCTCCACAGGTACCTCTTACCTTTCTATCTCTAGCTTTTGCTTCTCTCAACAGGCAGCTGCCCAAGGATGATCAGGCATAACTGACTTTGGAATGGACTTGTGCTTCATGTTTTAATGTGACAGGGTCTAATAACAGAACAGCCAGGCCAGCAGAAGACACAACTCCAGGGCCACCATGGTCATTTCACTCCACATGAATGACACCCTTTGGAGCTATGCAGAGCCCAACCTGGACACACAGCCTCCACATAGCCCCAGTGGAGGGGACAGTTAACTCCATGAATAGCCTCTCTGCCTTTCAGGGATTGAAGACACTCCATTTAAAAAGGGAAATAACACCACAAAATTAATCCCTTTTTTTAGTAAAGATTAGGGAAATTCTTTAATAAGATACAAAAACTGGTATTTTCCCACATTCTCCCTCTTTGCTTTATTTCTAAAATTTGGAAAGTTGCATGATGCATGCTTATCTAAAAAGAGTCACATTTCTAAGTGATCTAAATCCTCTTGTTGTGTTTAAAGATGCCCAGGATCTTGGTGTGTGATTTGATCATTAAACTAGTTCTTTATCCTTCTCCAGGAGAAACTCCCAGCTTGGGAGAGGTCACGGTGGCCGAGGTGGGCTGGGATGCCCTCAAGCTCAACTGGACTGCTCCAGAGGGGGCCTATGAGCACTTTTTCATTCAGGTGCAGGAGGCTGGCACAACAGACGCAGCCCAGAATGTCACGGTCCCAGGAGAACTGAGGTCCACGGACCTGCCTGGGCTCAAAGCAGCCACTCTCTATAGCATCACTATCCAAGGGGTCACTCGGGACTTCATCACAACCCCTCTCTCTATTGAAGTCTTAACAGGTATTCTGGCTCATTCTGCACACCTGCATCACCCCCTCTGCCTCTGCTCAGGAGGAATCAAAGTGTTTGCCTGCTCTAAACTGGGTTCAGCACCTACCATGTTGGGGAAATCCTGGTGACTCATCACTGTGTCTTCCCAAATGTCATATCCCTTATTTGGCCACATCCCAGTCACAGCCTAATGTATCCAGTTCCATGGAAAATTCCAGCTACTCTTCCTTTGCAAAAGTGAGAAGTTAACTTCTCTTGCAAAGCAGGTTTCAGTCATAATATCTAAGAAATTGGAAAGCACAACTTTCATGTGAAGAAATAATAGCTCTGAGCTCATTTTGAGGACACTGGAGGACTCCCCAGAGCCCTATTTGTATATAAAGAATGGAAATTGTGAACGATTCCTAAAACCAACTTTCATTCCCAAGGGCTGAGTTGAAAACTCTGGCTTTAGTGCCAACAATGAGATTATGTCAACTCAGCTGTAAAGCATGCACCTGTAATCAACACTTAGCAGACAACTCATCCCAACCTGAGCCAAAATGCCATCTCACCTGAATCCCCCTGTGCAGTTGCCTTTTTTTAGTAACTCAGCAACTCTGTGTCCTTATGCAGAGGAGAGTCCAGAGCTGGGAAACCTGACAGTGACCAAGGTTAGCTGGGATGCTCTCAGACTGGACTGGACCACACCAGATGGGACCTATGACCAGTTTGTCATTCAGGTCCAGGAGGCTGACCAGGTGGAAGAAGCTCGCAATCTTACAGTTCCTGGCAGCCTGCGCTTTGTGGAAATCCCAGGCCTCAGGGCTGGAACGCCTTACAAAATCACCCTGCATGGCGAGGTCAGGGGCCGAAGCACTCGACCCCTGGCTGCGGAGGTCATCACAGGTACATGACCCTCTTTCCAGACCAGAGATCTGATGGGAGTCATTGCAATAGATAATTCCCCAGCTTCAGGGTCCTCCCTCTCCATGGTTGACAGGCAGCATGAAGGAAGGTCTGGGCTGGAATTCCACTTTGTCAGCTGAATATCCTTGGGTATACCACTTGCTATCTCTAAGCCTTCTTTTCTCACACTCAAATCAGAGAGAGTAACCATACTTCAGAGCACTATCCTGAGCAGTAAATGAACTACTGAATGAAAGCACTCAGCACCGTGCCCGTCATGTAGTATTGAACAACAATAGCTAATTGCATAATAGAAGCATGCGAAAACAAATGAAGCGGTAAGGCTGTGGCACAAGGCTAAGATCAGAACTTTCTAGAGCAACATTGTCATTGCCAACCTCAGAATCACTAATATTCAATCTTTGGATCTCTACAGAACAACCTTTAGAAATAATCTATTCATCTTCTGCTGAAATTATCCAAGTCTCCTTCAAAGACACTCAAGGCAGGGGCATTTCCAAGAAAGGACAGCCCATTTGAGTTCAATGTATTTCATTCAACCTGGAAAGAAAACACAATTCATCTTAATTTTCCCCCCTGAATATATGCTGCTCCATCTGTCATAGAAAACTATCCACTGTGCATGAAATTTTTAAAAATAGCTTCAAATGAGGCTGTGAGCAAATGGACCAAATTTTTAGTATTAGGGTTTCTATGGTAGACCCTAAGCCCATTAACCCTCTCTCCATATCCTGTGTTCTGATAATGCCATCCAAATCACCTAATTCAAATAGATTTTGCTCCTTGCTCATATACGCCAAATAAATGTAGTCATTGCTAGAGATGACACACAATTCCAAAAATATGAAAAGTGATGGTGTGATAATCTTAAGGTCCCATGGGATGCCATTATCCTCAGTTTCCTGGAATAGCTTCAGACCAAGTGAGAGCAAAAAGGGCTTTTGAGACATGCAGACTAGGTGCAGGATACAGATCATCTACAGCTGTGGTCTGCAGAATTTTGTTCTTAACAGAAAAACTCTTTTTGCAAATGAAGTCTTGCAAGGAATCCCACTATGTGGTACATAAGCAAGCAGCTTTGCTAGTGAATTGGGGAGCCACAGGAAATTCCTTCTGTGTCCTCAGAGTAATTCTTCCAGAAAAGCACCCACTATATATGGAAGATAGTCCATGTAGGTCAGCCCCCTAAAAGGAAGAGGTTACCGTCAGGCTCTGATAGTGCACTGAGCCCTAGGACTCCTGAGGACAAGCATCCAACCCCTACCTTGTTCTAATGGAAATACCTGTAGAGATTTATTTATTTATTTATTTATTTATTTTACTCTAATTTCTAACCCATGGCCATTGTGGCCCTCAATAGAGAGGCTGACAGATTCCATGTAACCCAGAGAAGCATCCCACAAAGCACCAGATTTTTCTATGACCTGAATCCACACTTTCTAAACCAACACTAATTACTACATTAAGTTTCCTTCCTGCACTGTAGGAGAATAAAAATTCATAGTGGGCCTTTCTCTGCACCACTGACTGATCAAAACATTAACAATTCTTAATTAAAAGTAGACACACTGCTTGTGAGGCAGCCATTCTTCAGTCAGACACCAAGTGCTTGAAGAAGGGTGGATGAGGAGAACAAAGCCAAGAACACATATCACTTCTGATCCCTGAAAGCTGAGAAAAGTCCAGAGAGAAAATATCTCACTTGTCCAAGCCTGAGACAGTGTACACTTTATGAACACAGGCAGACAGCACATGGCCAGCAATGAGATGATCTAATTTCAAATAATGAAATGAAGCAAGTCGTTATCTCCCAAAAGATCAAGAAGTTCCAAGGACAAACACCAAGACCACATTATATTGCTTAAGCTGACTCTTACTGGACTCTCACTCTGTCTTAAGTATGGTATTAAGAGGTTGATAAATATCATCACTTCAACATCACATAACATCACGCAAGCCAATGAAATGGTAGTATCAGTTCCATTTACAGGTGAAGAGGATGAGAAAAGAAGCTGAGTGGCATGACCCAATTGGTGTCAGAGTTGGAATTCTAACCAAGGCCTATCCGCCTCCACCTAACCAAGGCCTGGCCGCCTTTAGTGGCCAGGCAAGCGATGCATATTCAGGGATTGTATATTGGTGCAGACTCCTTTGCCATCCTCCAGATCAACGATGTACACATCCTCTTTCTGACCATTTCCAACTCCAGAAGAAAGCTGTAGCCAGAGTGCTATGCTCAAATTGCAAATGACCAGAGACCAGGAATTACCAAAATTCTCTGTTCCCTTTTCTTTCCTTCCTAGAGTTGGGCTGTGGGACGTTTGGTTTCTTCGTCTGGGCTTTACAGAACTGACACCTACCTCTTTGTCCTTCCTCAGAGAAGCTCCCCGAGCTGGGAGCATTAACTGTGACTGAGGTTGCCTGGGACAGCCTCTCACTCAACTGGACCACAGCTGACCAGGCCTACGAGTACTTTGTCATTCAGGTGCAGGAGGCCAACAAGGTGGAGGCTGCTCAGAACCTCACGGTGCCCGGCAGCCTCCAGGCTGTGGATATTCCTGGCCTCAAAGCTGCCACCCCTTACAGAGTGTCCATCTATGGGGTCATCCAGGGCTATAGAACACCAGTGCTCTCTGCTGAGACCTTCACAGGTACCTCTTCTCCATGTCAATGCTTTCTCCCCCGAAGTTCCCTGCTTTCCTGCCACTAGATTGCGCAAGCAGTCTTCTCCCCTCCATAACTGAATCATTTCTATGCACCCTTCAGCCGCTGCCCTTGCATGCTCAGAGACTGCCCTGTGGGCTGTGCCTTTATCAAGATGTCTTTGCCATCTCAATGATGAATGATGCAGATGTTGCCTTTTCTGACCTTCAGGCCCCAGCCTCTCTCTCCCACACTTTATCTGGCCAGTCCTACAATGATGAATGATGGCTTTTTGTTTCAGGAGTCAGCCTGATGGTTTTAATTCACTTCTCTAGTGCTGGAATACAACCAGAAGCCCTCCTTTCCCATGAGTGCACTGGGGCACAGATTATTTACTTTAGAGGGACCTTTGCTAGTTGGAAATGGTGCCTTACTATCTCTAAATCCCTCCAGGGTATAGGCGCCGTGGTTCCTGCATTTAAGAAATGTTTCTCTAAAATGTACTGGGTATAATAAGAGAACTGAATTACCCTCCTCCAGGCAATTCCCTCAGTTACTGAGTCATTGTTAGAACATCAGATTAGCAAACAGCTAAACCAAAAAGAAAAAAGTCATACAATTATGCTTGGCGACTGTACCAAACAGAAGGCCATTCGTTAGCAGAAATACACACAGCAGCATTCAGAGCAAGAAATGAATGTCAAGAACTGGTATCCTTTTTGCTCTTTTAGTCAAGAGCTGTTCCTTGCAGCACTGGCCTTTGGGTGGCAGACTCCTAGCCCCAGCCCCAGGAGGGGATGCTATGGTTTACTAATCACTCTACTCCTGTTCCAAGGCATTCAGTGCTTCCCCGGGAGCCTGCGTAAGTGAGCAGCCTTCCCCCTCGCACTGTTTTCTACGGCCCCTCTTCAGGATGTGCCTCAGCTGGTCTGAAGCTCAGAAGAGGCCGTACTGCTTTGTTTTACATAGGACTGTCTCTCTTTTATGTAATTATTGCAACTAAACATTCACGGCAAATCTGCATGTGCTAGCTGACTCTGGCTAAAGCATGGCTCTGCATTTTAGCATCAGTCATTTCAGTTACTCTCACTGAGATCACCATAAAATACAAGCAACCCCTCCATGGATGGCAACCATGAAATGCCTAGAAATTACAGCTGAGGCTTCTCTAAACATGCCCAATCATCTTTCATCTGACATCCATAAACCACCCCATTCCAGAAGGCAGGGAAATCACCCACCACTTCTGATCTTTTATACAGATCTTGTGGTTTGGGTGTGGTTAGTATTTGTGTGTGTTTGTGCGTGTGCGTGTGCGTGTGTGTGTGTTTTATCAATAGCAACATTATGGCCTCTGATGAGGCAATGATGGCCTATGGGGAGCAAGGCCCATAATCCCATCTGAGTTCTTTATCAACAAATCTATTGGGATGGTCTCAGATTAGGGGCATTCTTCCTTGCTAAAGAGACAGTGTAAGTTTTCTTGCCTGCCTTCTGCACGTCTTATTCCTGTTACTTAAGAAAGCACTGGCAGGATCATCTCCAAGACTAAAAGTTATTTCTTGGCCAAAAATGGTTCCCTAAACAGCCTTGTCTTGGCTTAGCTCTCTTGGTTGGCAATGTTGTGCCAGACCTTTTTGGCCCACATAGAAGGAGTAAAGTGGGCATAAGCTGTTTTAACAGAAAATGGGAATGCCTGGCTAGCCCTTGTCTAAAATATGAAAAAGTACCAAGAATTACACTTAGAAATTTGCAATTCCCTTTAAGTCACAAAACCAGAAGCCTCAAGGTATCACCTTAGTAGGATATTGATGTTGAAATGATTTAGCCTTCATTTAAATAGATGGGCGCACCCTCAAAGCAAAGGATTCTGCAGGAGGCATACAAATAATCCTCGTCTCCTGCATGCAGTTCAAGACCCTGGAAGTTGCCAGAGCTCCTATCTTCTGACCCATGACCAGAACCCCTGCTGTTGCACACCCAGAGACATGTACAGCTAGAGTACAGAGATTTCTGCTGAGATCATTTACTGGGTCTTTTCCCTTGAGATATTCTGGCCAGGATATGCTCATGTGTGGCAACTATAGAGTAGGGCACTCTAATTGCCATCCCTTCCTTTTTAAAAATGTTTTCCTTTAACAAAACTCCTTTTCTCTCTCATTGGCACTGATTGATAACATTGCTTCATTTACACACTCATGCTTAACTATCAGATCTTCCTCCCTGGCAATGGTTCTATTAACAACCTTAGTCGGAAAACACAACCAAATAATTAACTCGTTTGTTTCTTCTCTCTTATCCCTCCTTTTTCAGCCAAAGAACCTGAAATTGGAAACTTAAATGTTTCTGACATAACTCCTGAGAGCTTCAATCTTTCCTGGACAGCTACTGATGGGATCTTCGAGACCTTTACCATTGAAATTATTGATTCCAATAGGTTGCTGGAGACGCTGGAATACAATATCTCTGGTGCTGAGCGATCTGCCCACATCTCAGGGTTAACCCCTAGCACTGATTTTATTATCTACCTCTCTGGCCTTGCTCCCAGCATCCGGACCAAAACCATCAGTGCCACAGCTACCACAGGTACATGTGCATTGTCTCATTCCCAACATCCTCTTTCCACAGTCTTCTTTGCAGGGTGAAGCCACTCCTCCTGCTCCGTGGAAGTTGAAACCACAGGACACACCACCTCTTCTATGGTGCTAGGCTGCAGCGATATTTAACGTGACTCTCTTCCAACAGCAGCCCCAGTGGTGGATTTGCATAATGCCATGTTCTTGATTTATCACTGACTAGGACATTTGGATCATAAAATGTGCTTTTGGTTCTGATTGCATTATAGGATTTGGAGAAAGAATTCTTTCCTGCAGTAACTAAAAAGCCATGATTTTCAGAGTTGCCCTGGCCTTGGGAAGATGTCTGCACGAGGTCTTAAAGTCACATTGTGTGTTTTCCTAGTGTCTTTGTCTTCCTAGTGGCTTTGACTTTTGTATACCCAAACATCGCAATGGTTTAATGAAATTATGCTGATTCCAATTGCGAAAGTGAAGAGAAAGAGCAAAGATTACTCATCAGATGAGTAGAGCATGTAGCTATGTTGTTTCTAACACTGTCTCTAAGAGAAAAGACCAGACCAAATATCTTGCCCCAGGACAGTGAGTGATACCAACATGACAAAAATAAAGTTACAATTGTCAGGTTCAAACAAGGATCTTGGTTTTTGAAAGAGGGAAGTGATCATACTGTAATCTGTGGTGTCTTTGGCATCTATACCATGTTAAAAGCTCTGGGTCATGTAGCAAAAGACAGTTTAGAAAGAAGAGCTTCATTCAACAGAAATAGCATTCTTAGCAAATTTTAGACAATGCCTTCTCTTGGCAGGTAAATTAAGGATCACAAACTAACTCGGTGGGGGGAATGACATTTAGACCCAACACAGGAGAATTTTCCCTTATAGTTCGGGGAGGGGGGCATATTCTAGAGAATGCAAGAAAAAGGTTGTAACATCAAAATGATTATTCTTTAGGTCACCCACATTTGAAGAAACATCTGTCATTCTACATGCAACAACCAATTGTTATTTGAGTGATCCACAGAAAAGGCAGGTGTAGTTCCAGCATGATACAGTTCCCTTCTCAGCCACATTAAAGTGGGAGCAAACACGGGGGAGATAATTAGTCCACCATATATATTTGGCTCAAACTGGTTTTCAACAAAGAGCAAATACTTTTACCAGGAGTGAAGTCTAAAACTTTATGGATTTAGTCTTATGTGTTTTGATTTTGAACCTATAATGGTTTAAAGTGACATGCTGTCATATTTTTCTTCTCACTTTAGTAGCTGAACCTCTCCTTAGCCACCTCACTATCTCAAATGTGACCTGGGGCAGTGTGTTCATCTCATGGAAAGCTCAGGAGCCTGCCTTTGATAGTTTTCTTATAGAAGTTAGTAATTCTGACCACCCCCAGGAGACGGCGGTATACTCTGTGCCTGCGGCATCTCGCAGTTCTGTCATCACCAACCTCAAAGCTTCTTCTAATTACACTGCCCACCTTCATGGGCTGATTGGCAGGCAACGTGCTCAGACCCTGATGGTCCAAACAACCACAGGTATTTCCCATTATGAGTTCTTTGCTGTTTACTGAACTTCCTCTGAGTAGCACTCCAAAAGTTACCCACTAGCCACTCTTCAACTTCCTCAAGTTTGATAGAGCCAGCCAAATCAAAGCTTTAAAGCTCTCAGATAACCCTCACCCCAAATTAAAGGATTTTAGTGTCAATCTCTTTTTCCTAAATATTTACTCACATCTGGAGTTGCTCTGTTTGTATGTATGGAGTTAACGTGACTTGCTTTGGTTGAATTTCTAAACCATCCTTTAATCTGATCTTAAATAATCTTTTCAAATACCACTCATTACCATCTGCCTGTGGTCTTTCTAATCAAAATTTGCTTGCATCATATTCAAAGAGGTGTGCGCATGCCATTTTTGGTTCAGTTGGAATGATCTAATCTCTTTCTCCCTAAGAGGATTTTAAATAATGGTGTCCCTAGCATGAGGCCAAGAAAATTTGATCACTCTCCAAGAAATGCATGAGACGATTCAGTGGTCTCATCTCCTTGAAACTTTCTTTTGTCTGGATTCCCTACAAACACTGCTCCTTTTTGACACTGACTCCATCAAGCATGTTTTGTCACCCACTGATACCTGTGGTCAAGCATCAGAATCTTTTTCCCACCCATCATCTTGTCCAAACCCCAGTGCATGACGTCCAGATTCAGCTTCTGAACATCTCTATCTTTTCTAGAAGCCAACAGCATGTCAAGGAATTGTCTCAAAGGGTTAGAACTGGTAGGAGAAAAATGTTCCTTGTTTGCATGGAATATTGCTCACATCCTAACTATATTCTGTTTCTCAATGTTTTCTTGCATCTTACTTTTCGGCTTGATTGTACCCTCTGAGAGGCAGCCGGAGCTCAAACTGACCTCAAGAAATTACATCATTCTGCATGATGAATGTGCTGGCATTGTCAGTCTTTGGTAGCATGAGAAGCTTACCAACATGCATCCTCAACTCAAGAGATGCAACAAAAAATAGGGAAAGGGCAGAGCTCCATTTTGGGGCATTTTATCTTTTGTGTGGTTGAGGGAATTTGCCAATACTATAGACGAAAACTGTAGTTTCATTAGCTTCTCAGTCTAATTGAGAAGTAGGAAATCCCATGTCATTGCCTATGGACACGTTCTAATTCTGAGGCAGACTCTTTTTGTCCTTTGAGCATCAAGCTATGCAGTGCAGTTGTGCAAAGTTTGTCTAAATGAGCTCCTCCTTCTCTCCTCCAAATTCAGGAGCTGAAGAAAAACAACTCCCTCCCTAGTCCTTGGAAGAAATAGTCTTCCTCCTTCCACCCCCAAATCCTGATCTTGAAATAGCAAACCTCCAGGAAACTGGCCTCTCTAAAACACAGCCTGAACTGAATCTGTTTTTACATCAGTATTATTTGATAAAGGAGCTTTTGGGGGCCAGTCCTACATAGACTTAGAAATTGACAGTAGCCATATAGGACCCTTACATTCAATGAGTTGATTTCATCATCAATGATTGAGATTTAAGGCACAAGAGAAATTTAACCTCGGTGGCAACAACCACCTTTACATAGTATCCAATAAATAAGTTTCTTAATCAAAAATGCAATAACTTGAAGTTTTCCTATAACTTTTGAATCTACCAAGAATTTTTTAATGGGAGCCTCCTTTACCTTTACACAATATTTAAGTTGATATATATAGGTTTCCCACAGTGCATGCATTTGGATTCTTAAATACTGTAAAGAATTCCTCTTGTATGAATATTGGTCTTTAACTTGCACAATCCAAGTAGATCAAAAGAAAACTAAATAAGAACTCCAAAGTAACTTTTGTTAAAGCATGATTGGTAGAACACCAGGTCTTTGAAATGTTCCAAGAATCTTCCTCAGATAACATACCCATTGATGGATAATTTTTAAAGCATGGGGCTAAAAAAAAAATGCATAAACTTACAGAACCCATCTGTCAGAGCCTTTAAAATGCTAATATGTTTTGTGAATGTCTATAATGAGATATAATTTCCAGTGTTTACCATGTACTTTTCAACATGAAGCTCTCTTGTCTTGGGACATCTTACAGGGCTAGTGTTCCAATAGAAACTTTCAAAATCAGAACTTAATACCAATTATATTAATCCTATCTGCTGCTTTAGTGGCTTATTCACTTTCCTTCATATACAACAAGCAAATGCTTGTGTCCATACTTTAAAAGTATCCTCAGAGGAAGATAGATATAGATATGTAGATATAGATATATATAGATGTAGATATATAGATACAGATACATATCTGTAGACATGTCTATACATATCTGTATCTATACCTATATTTCTACATCTATATATAGGTATATATCTATATCTACATATTTATATATACATATATATACACATATAGCTATCTATCTATCTATATATTTTTGTTCTGATTATATATTATAATCAATGCAGGTGAGGACATAGTTTAATATACTTCCATTTCTGCAAATATTTGGAGATATTAATGCTTTCAAATTCTATGGCTACATTCTGGATAAATCCATTGCTTGCTCTAATAATGTCTCTTTCTCTGTCCATGTTCCTTCCCTTCAGAGCCAGAACCACAGTTGGGCACGCTAATCTTTAGCAATATTACTCCTCACAGCTTCAACGTCTCCTGGACCACTCGAGCTGGGCTTTTTGCAAAGATTGTTATCAATGTGAGCGATGTTCACTTGCTGCACGAGGCCCAGCAATTCACAGTCTCAGGAGATGCGCAGCAAGCTCACATCACAGGCTTGGTGGAGAACACTGGCTATGACGTTAGTGTGGCAGGGACCACGTGGGCTGGCGACTCCACCAGACCCCTCACTGCCTTTGTCATTACAGGTACTCAATCAGAGGTTCTCACTTACTGTTTAGAATGCTGACACAGGAAAAGGGGGAGACGGAGATAGACACTCTGGGGGAAAATTCAACTCAAAACAGAGTTTTCACTCTAACTGCAAACTTTTCAGTTTTTAATTGACAAATAATAACTGTATATATTTATGGGGTATAGTATGATCTTTGAAATATGTATGCATTCTGGGATGATGAGATCGAGCTAATTAACATAGCCATCACCTCACTTACATATTTGTTTGTGTGTATGGTGAGAACATTTAAAATCTTCTCTTTTATATTTTGAAATATACATTATTATAACCTATGGCCATCATGCTGTACAAAAGATCGCTAAACCTTATGCGTAGTCTCCACCTGAACTTTGTAACCTTTGGCCAACATTTTCCATTTCCGCATGCCCCATTCTCCTCTCCACTTCTATGAGTTTAACATCTTTAGATTCTACACAGAAGTGAGATCATGCATTCCCTGTCCCTGTGTGAGGCATGTTTCACTTCACAAAACATCCTCCAGGCCCATCTATGTTGTCACAAATGACAAAATTCCCTTTTTTTTTATAAAGCCTACTACTATTCCATTTTGTGACTGTGCCATCCAATTCATCCACCTATGACACCTATGTTGCAATGCAGCATTATTGACAACAGCCAATGGTACCGTCTAAGTCAAGAGAGAAGAGGTATCGTTGCAAAGTAGAGGTCTTTCACAGCAACACTTCAAAACCTGAAACTCAACAGCTACATAAAGTTTTCAGGGATTTTTTGTGCCTAGTTTTTTAGTTGTCTGATCCAGAGTTTGGAGATTCTGTCTAAAAGAGAGAATTCTAATTTAATAAGGTCTAGAACAGGAATTTTGCCCATAAATCATGCTAGGTAAAACAGTTCATAAACTACTTATACCAGAACAATCTTTATCTTTAGAAAAGCTTCTTGGGCATTTGGCCTAATGGCATTCTACATTAGAGCATCTGGGTTCAATATTTACCTCCAGCTCCTGAGTCCAATTTCCTGCTAATCCAAACCTCAAAAGAAGCCAACACGTGGTAGTTCAAGTAGTAGGGGCTCTGTCACCCACTCCAGCCCCGTCTCAGTCACAGTAGGCATTTGGGGAGTGAACCAACAAATGGGAGATTCTCTCTGTCTCTCTCTCTTAAAAAGCATCTTTTAAAAAATCTTTTTAGAACTAACAACTACAACAGACTGAAGCTTCAATTCAGTATTCTGACAAATAAATTCTTAAATTAACTGAACCTTATCCATTCATTGACCTTGACTTTTAAATTCCCTTTGTATTGCATAAACAACGGTTATCTATTTTCTTTCCTGATATTATCCTAAGTCAATGGCAACAGCTGCACATGGTGTCAGTTTTCCTGATCTCCAGGCTGAAAAGTCTCAGAAAGCATTTAGAAGTATCTTGCCTTCCATTAAAGACAATTTTCAAGAGACAGACTTTGCCATTTGACTTTGACATTAAACCAGGTCTCTCCCGAAATTGAAATTGCTATAAATATGTTAATAAGGTTAATTAAATATTTAATTGGAAGCATTAAGGTATCCAGAAAGAATGAGTATTTTTAGGTTAAGCCTGCAAGGTTTCTAAACTTCTCCCACATTTTTAGCTATATAAACTTAACAAGTACTTAAGTTGTTTGAACCCCTATTTCCTTCTATATGGAAAGAAGATACCCACCAGCACCTCCAGCAACCTGTCTCTGGATTAAGTAGGTGTGGGTGCCTGGCATCTGGTATGCATTTTATAGATTCTGGGTCCTTTCTATTGCCTCCCAACAGTATAAGCAAAGTATAACCAAAGAGCCTAAATACAGAGTTATGCAATCACAATTTCCCTATTAATTTTAAGAGAATAATGGATTTTTATCGTGTGTTTATTTGAGAAGGTGGGAAGGCGGGAAGGAGGAAGGCAAGGAGACTGCTCCCTTCCACTGGTTCACTCCCCAAATGCTAGCAACAGCCAGGACTGGACCAGGCTGAAATCTGGAGCTGAGAATTCAATGCAGGTTTCCCCTGCGGGTGACAGAATCCGACTACTTGAGCCATCACTGCTGTCTCCCAGGATCTGCATTAGCAGGAAGCTGGAGTCAGCAGTCAATCCCAGGCACTCCAACGTGGAACATGGTTGTCCTAGGCAGCATCTTAACTGCTAGATAAAACACCCATCTCTGCACATTTCAGTGTTAGATTAAAAAGTAATTATTTTTTTATCCAGTTTCTAATGTGAAATAAATGAGTCACATCCATCTTCAAAGGCACAATCTGGTGACTTGTTCAGAAGAATGGGAAGCATAGGTATGAGATGAGATGCTCTGCCCAGGAGCGGAGGAACGGCCACAGATCCCATCAGGCCCTTACTTGTAGCCTCTTGCAGGACCTCCCACAGAAGAAAGGAAGGCTGGGAGAGTAGGGCTTGGAAATCTAGAGGTCTTTGCAGCTTTGTCTCAGCTAATCCTTGCTGTGAAAAGAGTCTGCATTGTAACAGCTTGTTAAAAAGAAAAAAAAAATCTACATAGGAGGGACTCTAAGAAACAAGCCCTTGATTGACTAATTAGCCTAAACACCCTCATTTTCCTTGGAATCTGCTGCTTTGATGTTGGGGAGGTGCAAAAAAGGGCAGCTATGAAAGAAAGGCTCACTTATCTAAACAAAACCCTGCAACAGAATTCGAAACCCTTGTCTCTCAGACCAAGACGACTGTTTGCGCTGTATTTGTGATCATCTTTGCCTTTGATAGAGTTATGGTTCTTGAGAGCTCTTTACATGGAAAAAAAAAAAAGACTCAAAAGAAACACCAAGTGTTTCAAAATAAGTACAGGAAGTCCAAACCACAGCAAAACTTAAGTCCCTGCTTAGCAGATGAGGGTATGCATTCACTTATTCATTCAGTCACCAAACACTTCTTTTTAAAACATTTTTCTTTGTATCCCATAAAATTAGACCCTGGGCATTATTGCAAGGTCATTTAGCTCTTTGAACGTTTCCATGCACCTGCAATGGAAAAGAGGTTCTAAACTGGACAAGCCTTGGCCATGGAATTCCCATCCCCAGCCCCTCGGTTTTAAATATATATACATATATATGTCCACCATTACACGTGCTGTTAACTTAATAGAGAGGAGGTGCTGAGCCTTCTCCACTGTTCCTGCTACTGACTCAGAGCTTATTAGCACTGACAGGTTTTGCTAATTAGATGTTGCCTTGGGGTATGGATAAGAACACAGAAGTTGGAGTCAGAAGCCCCAGCTAGAGCCCAGCTTAGTCACCTAGTGGGTGCGTGATCTTGGATAAGTCATGATCTCTCTGTTTCCTTCCTCATCACTGTAAGGATTAAACAGGATAATGAACGTAAAGCCTCATCAACTGAATAATTACTAACAGGAACTTGTTGATACAACCTCACTCTTTTTGGGAACCTGAATCTACAAAATAACCCTTGGGTACCTGAGAAAGAAGAGTGCCTGGGATACAGATGTTTGGTGAATGAATGAAAAAAGGGATGATAGACCTCACTGAAGACCCGGATATATCCTTCCTTTTAACTTTATCCAGGAAAACAGGGGGAAAAAAATAGCAAATCTTACCTTTATGTCAACTTGTAAGGGTATTTCACTAAATGGCCTAACCAACTTGATTCAAAATGTGAGCTAGAAGTGGGATAGAAACATATGAAGTACAGCAAAAAGACAAATAGAAAACTGACTTGCCTCATGACTGAAGGCAGTAGGGAATAGAGGAAGGAGTCCGAACCCAACATAAGAGATCCTGCTTACACTGGGAGAAAACCATGGCCTTCAGAATCAGATCCAATCAAAAACTTTGCCCTGTCTCACAACAGCTTATGACTTTGGCCAAGTTAATCTACCTCCCTGAAACTGTTTTCTCACCTGAAAAATGGGGCAGGTACCTACTGCAAAGGCTTGTTAGGAGGATGATACATGCTAACACTATCCGGCACCCAATAAGCTCTTACTAAATATTCATTTTCTGAGTATAACACACTGAATGATTGACTGGGTATCTGCTGGTGTTCTTGGAAACGGGTACTGTCCTGGCAACGTCAGTGCTGCTAACCTGCATTATTTTTACCCCTCCCCCCTTCTTTCAGAGGCCCTGCCCCTTCTGGAAAACCTAACCATTTCCGACATTAATCCCTACGGGTTCACAGTTTCCTGGACGGCATCGGAGCATGCCTTTGACAGCTTCCTAGTTACGGTGGTGGATTCTGGGAAGCTGCTGGACCCCCAGGAATTCACACTTTCAGGAACCCAGAGGAAGCTGGAGCTCAGAGGCCTCATAACCGGCATTGGCTATGAGGTTATGGTCTCTGGCTTCACCCAAGGGCATCAAACCAAGCCCTTGAGGGCTGAGGTTGTCACAGGTATTTCAATTCAAGTGAGCCATTCTCTCCTCTTCCCAGTCCCCTTCCATTTGTCTACCAGATCACGTGATTTTAACATCTTTGTCAATATTCTCTGCTTACTCCATAGATGTGGACTGTTTTGTCACGTCCTCCCATACTACCCCATGTCTTATGTATCTAATGAGCACTCCCTACTGCCACCCTAGCAATGAGAAGGTCGAAATGTTTCCACTTGGTGTCCCAAATCCTTGTAGACCATGTCTTGTCCATAGCTCTTACATACTTACTCCATGTCACTTTCCCTTGTGTTCATCCTGGCTGGTCCCCAGCTACATTTCAGCCTTCTCAGGAAAAATATACCAATGAGTATATTTTGAAAATGTACGTGAAACTTTTGCCACCTCAAAGTCTCAAAAGTGATCTTAACAAATTTACCCAGGGAGTTCATTACTGGCAAACCATGTATGAACTGATATCAATACACACTAACATCAGAGAGAATCTTCAACACAGATTAAATCCATAATTTTCACATGATTAATAATTCCTAGAGAAATAAAACAATTACAATTTTAACAGTCAGAAACCTGTGTTTCCCAAAGTCTCTCTAAAAATGAAAAGTCTTACTTGATGAAGGAGTTCCATGTTCGTGTTTCTAGTGTTCCATGTTTGGGAACACTGAGTTAGACAAAGTTCAGCAGGATCTTTGACCATGAGGCTTTTTTTTTTTTTTTTTTTTTTTGACAGGCAGAGTGGACAGTGAGAGAGAGAGACAGAGAGAAAGGTCTTCCTTTTTGCCGTTGGTTCACCCTCCAATGGCCGCCACGGCCGGCGCGCTGCGGCCGGCGCACCGCGCTGATCCGATGGCAGGAGCCAGGTGCTTTTCCTGGTCTCCCATGGGGTGCAGGGCCCAAGCACCTGGGCCATCCTCCACTGCACTCCCTGGCCACAGCAGAGGGCTGGCCTGGAAGAGGGGCAACTGGGACAGAATCCGGCGCCCCGACTGGGACTAGAACCCGGTGTGCCGGCGCCGCTAGGCGGAGGATTAGCCTAGTGAGCCGCAGCGCCGGCCGACCATGAGGCTTTTCAGAGCATCTTAATGTGCATTGGTGGCTCCAAGAGCAACTCCTCCAGGCGTATTGATAATGGATGCCTTTTAAGGAAGAAGATCAAGTAGAAAGTTTGCTTTGAGCACACTTTGGGAAACTCGGCTCTAAATTTACCTTGAAATAGAGTTTTGTCTAGTTAAGACAATCCAAGATGAAACCTTGGGGCAAAAATTCAAGGTATCTTCAGAAAGTTCATGGAAAATGTGTATTACAAGCATAGATTTCATTTTTTGTGCCACAATAAACTTATCTTTAAATTCCACTTTCCCATAAACTTTTTGAATGACACTCAAATGTATCACAGGAGGTTCAAAGCCTCAGTTCTGCCATCTGAACATTTATGTAATGGTTAAAATGGCAAGGAAAGAAAGTCAAGGAAGAACAAATAGCAGGGAGTTGGAACCTTCTTTTGTAGAACAGATCCAAGAACAAAGCAAAAAGACTGAAGCAGTTTAAAAGCCATTTTGGTCAGGCTCAAGGGAAATGTAATCAGAAGTGTCATCAATGGCAGCTCCACAGATCATTAATGCTGGTTTATTTGTCCTTTCAAGAAGGTCTCACAGAGGATGGGCATTCAGCCACGGGAAGACAGAGAGCAAATGTAAACAAGTTACTGGCTTTGAACTTGTTTAATAATGCATGGGAGGGACCAATGCTGAGTCCAGATGTGGATTTATAGAATTGCTTGTAGACAAAACTCACATATGCAAGCATACATGTAGCCTGTATTGACTGTGTTAACACCATCTCTCCCCTCTCGTAGCCCTACTAGACTTGTTCATGTTGAGTGATTTTGTTTTTGGTATCTCAGGATACTTCTGTCCTGAAAGCTGGGGCATCACTGCATTCTGATACCCTCACTGGAGAAAGCATTCCACGGGCTGCTAAATGTTGTTCCTTCCTCCTTTCCCCTCCATTTTCTCCCTCTCTAGAAGCCGAACCAGAAGTGGATAACCTTCTGGTTTCAGATGCCACCCCAGATGGTTTCCGTCTATCCTGGACAGCTGATGAAGGGATGTTTGACAGTTTTGTTCTCAAAATAAGAGACACCAAAAAGCAGTCTGAGCCACTGGAAATAATCCTACCTGCCCTTGAACGTACCAGGGATGTTACAGGTCTCAGAGAGGCGACTGAATATGAAATCGAACTCTATGGAATAAGCAATGGAAGGCGATCCCAGCCAGTCAGTGCTATAGCAACAACAGGTACCGTAAACAAACAGGAAAAAAACAAGAAAAGTCATGAATTGAGGGTTTTCTTCCCACAGGTGTCCATGATCACAAGAGTACTGGATGCACACAAGCTTGCCTTCAAACCCTGGCTCTTTCAATTATTGATTGGGGTATTTTGGACAATTTGGCTGTCTTTATGCAGAAAGAGTGTGGTGCCTATGACTTAATAGGATTGTAAGGATGAAATGAGGTAATTCACATAGAGCCCATATCAGAAGGCCTGGCACATGGCAGGAGCTGGGCAAATGAGAGCTATTCACATTGTCATCAATACATTATCATCATTATAATTATCACATATCTTAGATTCCAAAGACTCTTCTTTCCTATCTAGAGTGTAGTCCATGGAAAATGGAATTTAAATACATTTTGTGTAAAACCTTTTCTAAACCCGTGCATACCATGAGTCTTCAAAAAGCTTGTGGAAAATGTATATTATGAAAAACCTCTGCATAGATTTCAATGTGTTTTTTGCACCAAAATAAACTCATTTTTTATTCCATTTTTCATGAACTTTTTGAAGAACGCATCTACTATTTTTTTTTTATTTACTTGACAGGTAGAGTTATAGACAGTGAGAGAGAGAGACAGAAAGGTCTTCCTTCCGTTGACCCCTTCCATTCACCCCCCAAATGGCTGCCACAGCCAGCGCTGCGCCGATCCAAAGCCAGGAGCCAGGTGCTTCTTCCTGGTCTCCCAAGCAGGTGCAGGGGTCCAAGCACCTGGGCCATCCTCCACTGTCCTCCAGGGCCACAGCAGAGAGCTGGCCTGGAAGAGGAGCAACCGGGACTAGAACCCAGAGCCCACATGGGATGCCAGCGCCACAAGGCAGAGGATTAACCAAATGAGCCATGGCACCGGTCCCCCCTTCTATTATTTCTTCATATTTTATCCAGAGATGCATTTTACTGTGCTTTGGCCAAGAGTTGTAGCTCCATGAGGTAGGGTTAATGAAGAAGTGTCAATGCACCTGTCAAGATTAAGATTTAGCCCAGATTCCATGTCAATAATCAGTGCGATGGCTGGCATGGAAGAAGCAAAGACCTCAATAACTTTATCCCATACTGGGAACAACTCGAAAAGGCACCGAGAGAGGGAAAGGAAAGTCATTTTCCATGTGAGCTGTTCCAAGGAGAAAGAAGTGATTAATAACATGTCTTTTCTAATATCAGTAAGACTAACGTGCCTCCTTAGAGAAAAAAGGAAGGGCCTGCAGCTGGGGGTGTGTGTGATTTACTTCAGGACACAGCTCCTTCAAAGAGGAACCAGAGGAAAAGCTCACAAAATCACAGGCAGAGGGCAAAAGAATCTGGGAAACGACGTAGCTCGGGGTCTCGTTTGTACATGAAGATGTGATGCCCAGAAAGGTGCAGTCAATGGTGGAAGCTACACAACTAGATCTCAAGTAGAACTCAAAAGACCAAGTCATTTTAACAGAAAAAACCCTGTTCCTTATTGTCAGGGACACCTGATCCCAGAGAAGGTCTAAGTCTGCTCCTCCCTGTGGCTGCCCATCAAATGCCTCCAGATCAGAGGCAGAGCTGGATTTTGACCTGGGTTTATAAACACCACTCTTCAAAGTTTACATCTGATCACTGATTTTGTTTTGCTGACCCTTTTTCTTTCTAGCAGTCCTGCAGTTCTAAAGCACATGAGAATGAATAATCATGAGCTACTTTTTTTTTTTTTTAAGAACAAAAGGAAAGAAAAGGGAGAGTCATTTCTGAAAAGCCCTGTCTCTTTGATTCCCTTTTCTGGGGCCTTGTAGATTACAGCCAAAGAAAATAGTGTGCACTTGCACACCTGTGCTCCAGGACCCGGAGGGGGTCAGGAGAGGGGATTCCATACAGCAGATGTCTAATTCTATCTTCACCTTGTCAGCTTTATAAAGTCTCCTTTCTGTTTTTCTTCTTTTCTCCTCTCTTCTCTGGCATCCCTTAGACCTTTGCAAACCCATCTCTGTATTGTGCTAGCCCTCTTCCTTCTGGTGAGGAGTGGCTGTGGCTCCACCTCTGGCTGAAAAGCACCGTCGCCCTCTCTCCGGAGCATGAGCCCAACCGCTGAGAGGCAGTGTTGCCTCCTGGCTAAGCCGGCACTCTCTGAACAGAGTTCAAACCTGTTACCAGCTGTGTGACCTTGGACACAACTCCCTTCCTCACTGAGCCTCAATTTCCTCATCTGGAAAACAGGATTTAACTCAAAGGTCTGCCTGCCATGAGTTTTAAATAAGATCGTGAATGGCAGGTGTTTAGCAGAATTCCCTTGCACATACTAACCACATTAGCTATTATTATGCTTGGTTTTTATTTTTTTATTATTTTTATTTTTTATTTTTATTATTATGCTACAAATTTTAGTTTTAATGGACTACTTGTTTCAAAATTATAAAGTTAAAAATGTATACAGTGAAATCTCTATTCTACTGTATCTCTCCACTCAGCTACTCTATCTAAAAGCAACCAATATTACCAATTCCTTATGTGTCCTTCAAGAAATACACAATTAGACAAAATTAGACATAAATTTATATTTTTTACTTTTTCAGGAGGGCACAATGTTTAACATAGTACCCATTCTTCCATACTTTGTTGTGTTTATTTTTTAGTTGATCTCAGAGATTATCCCCAGATATTATTTATTAACCAGTTCCCTATTGATGAACACTGAGGTTATTATGTTATTGTTCATTCTATCAGTTCATCCTAGCAATTGCAATGGCTTCTCTTCATCTCTGCAGTTTGAGCCTCTTCCTGCCAATAGCCTCAGCTCCCTTTAGAGAGACACGGAGTTGCCCAGTGCTCCTTCTGCCTCCAGGAAGTTAAATGTCAGTGAGCTCGTCACCATCATGAGGATCCCCAGTGCGCATAAAATAGGGAAAATATAGTAGCACCTGAGTAAGGTGGCTTAGTGCTTCTCTTCCGGAGGCTCCTACAGCCCTCCTCAGGTGTACAGAGTGAGGACCCAGAAGGGTTTCTTGAACCTGTCCCACCCTGACCCCCACACATGTACTCTTCGTACTCTCTTCCACCCCTGAGGCCAATAGGGTGTTCAGTCCCTCTCCTCCTAACTCCCAGAAGGTGCCCCACTCCCAGCCTGACCCATTTTTCCCTGCCAAGCAGCCTCTCAGCTCCTCAGCTTGGTTCCAATCCAGATGAACTTGAAGCCACCCACAACAGAGCTGAGAGGCCGTTGTGTCCAGGGGCCTGGGTCAGAGGGTCTGCAGACACATCTGCTTGGCATCCTTCCGCATGACACAAGCCCTTTGTGCTCAGTACCTCTGACTCTGACTCACATGCTCCCCCCAGAAGCATGAACGTAATAACCACCAATGGAGTAACTGACACACTTGACCTCATGGAACCTCCATGACACAGGCAGATCCAAGCCCCGTTTCACAGAAGTGAAAACTGAGGCCTCAGGGGCCAACGTATTTATAAGTAGTGAAGCCAGAGCAGAATTCAAACCTAGGTGGGTCCAACTCCAAAAATCCTTGCTCTGAAATCAGACTGCCTATAGTAGTTGACCCTTTACCTTTGCATAGGACCTAACACATTAAATGTTCCATAAAAATACATTGGTCAATGGCTTCATAAGGAAAGTCATCCACTCCAGATTTTGGAAGGCAACTTTTTATGGAGAGAGTAAATAGAAGTCTACTTCAATCTCCTTGGGAATGCTTATCAGTTCCAGAAATCTCTCTAATGGAGTTTTATTTATTTATTTTTGAAAATTGACAGTCTCCTTGAAAAGAGACAAGAAGCGTTGTCTGGCCTGGGTCTCCCCAACTTTTCAATTGCTGTGATTCAGCTGCTCTGTGTATAGCATCTGTTGTAAGGGCCCTATTCATGGCAAAAAAAAGACACACATAGAAAGTTCTGAGTTCCAAAAACATCACCCCCTTTGACCCTAGAATTCCACCACCAGTGGAGCCATTCTTCCAAGTTGTGCACAGCTGTCTTCCCACGGCTACTTGTACCAATCACATCTCCCAGGACTGTGATGGACAAGGTTGCTTATTCCTATTTTATCAAGATAGGGCAGAAATTATTACCACTTTGCAGATGAGAAAACTGGGATCCAGGGATGAAAGCTTTGGCTATAAGCTACACCTCCTAAAATGTGCCAGAACCCAGAGCCATGAGGTTTTCAGTAAGAACAAAAGCCACAATGAGCCAGGCTGGCAGAGGAGACCCTGAGGCTGGAATTCATACACTTTTACTGGGGTTTCATTCTCAGTGGGACTCCTCTATACCTTTCCGGGGGGAGTACCCTAGAATTCATGGCGAACTACAGAGGAAAGAAAATAGTGAGGGCAATCATTTTCATGCAGTTCTCACAAGAAACCAGATACCATGCCAGGAGTTTTTATTTTCATTATTTCTGCTAATCCACAAAACATTGCTGTGGATGGGTTCCACTTTCCCCTCTGGACAGATGGAGCAACTGGAGCTCACAGAAGTGAAGGGACATGCCCCTGGTTACCCAGCCTCTCAGTGGAATTTGGACAATCAGGATCTTGCAGGCTCCAGAGACCTTGTGGTTTCCGAAACTTTCCATGGAGAGGGCAAAAACCTAGGCAGCCGCAGAATCTGGGGGTGGCATGCAGGTCACAGAAGAAAGCTGAAAAAGGAGATGTCTTAGAGATTAAGACATGGGGAGGGGAACAAATCTCTCTAAATGTCTGTGGGTTTCAGAGCTTAATAAGCAACGTGGGTTGGAGACAGGAAAAGATGAGGAAGGAGCTCCCTAGAGCCTGAAAATTGTTTCCTGAATTTTCTGGTTAAGCTTGGTCAACTGAACAGGGTGAAACCTAAGCCAAAAACCACACGAGATGAGCCAAGGAAGCTGGGTTTGAAGGCGGGTAGTATTTGGAGCCCTGTGGCTTCCTTTCCCAACAGGTAGACCCGGTGTCCGTTGCGTGTTGACTTTGGGGAGGGTCTCAGGCTGTTCTTCTGGACTGGCCCTTCTTTCAGTTCTAAGAAGCGGTCTGTCAAGGTCATTTTCCACAGGAGCATCATTTCCAGGATCCTGGGCAGTGCTTGGCTCTGCTGCCCAGGCCTGGAAACTAGAGAGGCCGCATCACAAAAATGTTTGTTGGAGAACAGATCCTCAGTGTGGTTCTTGGTAAGATGGCTACAACCACACCTTCTCGGAGGTTTCTGTGTGAGGATTCAGTCTTATACATTGCAAAGACCTGAACAGCTTCTAAATCTTGGTATTACTATCAAAAAGGAACTCAACTGCAAAGATTTGGGAGGGAAATGCTAGAAACCAAACTAGAAGGCAAGGTAGCACATTTCAACCTGTAAAACCACTCTCCCTCACTTGCTTGGAAGTTGGTCTTAGTGTTCACACTGCCCCTGAAGAAACACAAATGACTACTCTACAGTTCTGGGCCCTGTACCTGCAATGAAAGAACAGTTGCTTCTAGCAAGTCTCTGTTTGACCACAGATCATCACATCGTCATCCTACAGTCTTGACTCAGCCATGATCTCCAGGCACTGAGTTTTCCTGGATAAGGAATCCAGATAGCAACATTGAGCAAGACAGCTAACTGTTCTTGGTTTCTCTTGTGTTCTTTCCTTGGCAGCCATGGGCTCTCCAAAGGAAATCGTTTTCTCAGACATCACTGAAAACGCAGCCACCGTCAGCTGGAAGGCACCCACCGCTCAGGTGGAGAGCTTCCGGATCACCTACGTGCCCTTGTCAGGAGGTAGGTGACTCGGAGAGGGGAGCTGGAGGAGGAGCATGGTGGGTTTGTGTTGAAAGTAAAAGGGACCCAGATAGTGCCCATCTCCCCTAAACATCACAGCCAAAGAAAACTATTTCCTTGTTTCTGAAAAGTCCCCGTTTGTAAAGTTCTGTGAGGCCCTTGGAAGAAACTACCTTGTGAAGGGTCTTTGTATGAAGACCCTTTCTGGTCTTGAAATCCTAAAATTCCATGAGAAATAAAACTCAATGAGAAATCCAACAATAATGTTTTCATGCAATGACAAAAGACTAAAAATGCATAAGTCTTTCCACCTTGGAGCACAGTCATCTCAAAAACTAGTCTTGGGTGCCCAAGTCTGTCTCAGTATAGGATACAGAGTTGTGATCCCAGCAGAGCTGCAAGTTCTAGTTCAGAGTAAGTGGGCTATGAGACTGCTTCAAAAATCTCGTGGAAATGCAATTAAAAGATAAGTTTATTCGGATGCAAAAACTATTGAAAGCCAACAGATAAGGAGTCTTCCAAAAGTTCATGGAAAATGTATTATGAAAAAAAAACCTAGAATGGAAATCAATTTTTGAAACAAAATAAACTTATCTTTAACTTCATTTGCCATGATTTTTTAAGTATTCTGACAGAGACCACAGCATAGTCAAATCCATCTAAACACACTCTGGAAGATAGTGAGCTCCTGTTACCACAGATGTGCCAAGAGAAAATAATTGATAACCTCCTAACAGATGTGCAGTAGCTTTCCTATGGGGAGTTTGACCAGCTCATATTCAAACTGTACACTAACCAGGCAACTCTTGGAAAGAGAAATTCTGTGCTTGTTAATAAATTTAGTGCACAGACTTGACTGTGACCATCATTTCTTCCTAAATAGAATTTCTGCTAGTAATGGAGACTGCATAATCTTAAACCAAGATAGGAGTTAAACAGATCAATTATGCATCACATAGGGAGCTTCCCATATTCTTTGTGGGAAAGAAAGGAATTTAAACTTACACAACATGCCCACTCTCTACAGAACGGAAACTTGCCATTTTTAGTATGTTGTGACTTCATGTTTTTTCCTCTCCTGGGCTTGGTTTTTGGCATCTTCACCAATGGAAAAAGCATTATAAAAAAAAAATGTCTTTCCTTATGCCAGAGGGTAGGAGTAAATGAAGTTTAAAAAAATGGTTATTGGATAAAGATAGTGTTTCATTTCCAAATGGATACACCCAGCCTTGGGGCAACAGTGAATATGCTTCAGTAAAGTTCACCACTCGCCTTCTTGTCTGTACTGTGATCCAGGTCCACCCACCACGGTAACTGTGGATGGCACCGAGACTCAGACCAGGCTGGTGAAACTCATCCCTGGCATGGAATACATTGTCAACATCATCGCCACCAAGGGCTTTGAGGAAAGTGAACCTCTCTCCGGGTCACTCATCACAGGTGTGTTGTGTTTGGCATTTTGCCTTTCAGAGCTCACGTATGCATGCTGCATTATTTCTCACCTTGCACTATGTGGCTTGTGACTTGGCAGCTGGAGGAAGCTCTTCTTTGTGTAATCCTAGCGGAAAGTGAATTGGATTCAGAGCACCAAAAGCCTCCTTTCTCTGGCCCATCCCCAGCCTCTGAGGAGCAGGGAATCTTACGTGCATCCTTATCCTTGCCAAGTCTCTGTTTCCTGAAGCATTGTGGGAGACCCCAAGTTTGGGAGTGAGATTGGCCTGGCTTAAAACCCTGTGAGCTGCCAATTAATTTCTCAGGAGTCCACTTTTCTTTTCTGTAAGATGGGCACAATCCAGCTTCCCCCCAGGGTGCTGGAGACTCTGTAAATGTCAACAGGTGTACCCTTTAGCCTGCCACCTTCTCACTTTCTCCTCCTCTTGCCTGGAACCGATGTGAGACTTCATCAAAACAGGTGCTTCACAGGGACAGGTTGTCGCTCCCCCTCTTCGTGGAGGAGCAACACAGGACCCTGCGCTGTTCTTTCATCTGCTCGGCCCTCCCCGGGTTTGTTGCTGGTTCTTCCCGGGTTGGCTACTATCCCTTCCACCTCCGTGGAAGGGCAGTTCCCCCTGGCCACATTCCCCACTTCCGCAGGGGAGCGGCACACCGCCGGCTGGCTCTCTCGGGGGCTGCACAGGTGTTCCCTTAGATGTTCCCCTTAGATGTTCCTCTTAGATGTTCCTGGTGCATGCCGTCTCTCTCCTCCTTTATAGTCCTCCTCCGCCAATCCCAACTCGGCTGCCCACACGCCGAGTACGCTGCTCTCCTCCAATCAGGAGCAAGTCCTACAGTTTATTGGCTGAACTGGAGGCAGCTGTGTAGAAGCTGTTTTCTTCTCTCCCAGCGCCATACTGTGGGAGAGCAGATGCATAGAATAAGTCTTAATTCCAGTAACTTAGTCTAGTCCGAGTTGCTCCCCACACAGGTGATGAAGACAAAGCAGCTTCTATTTGGCAGCCACTGCATTTCAGCCAGTGTGACCAAACCCTTCACATTCAAACCCCACAGCTATTATCATTCCCATTTCACAGAGGAGACAACTAAGACCTGGAGGAATTAAGTACCTTGACCAAACCCACACAAGTAGTAAATGCTGGAGCCAGATTTGAACACAAATGGTTATTTTCCTGCTATGACCTGATTTGTCACTAGAGAAGAGGGAAATAATGAACCACTCTGAAGGAGAATGAGTGGAACATTTCTCTTCAGACAGCCATGTTTCTAAACAATTTATCCTTTGATCCATGAACAACTGCCCAGTCCAAACCATCAGAGGATCCAAACAATAATCCTTATAGGAAATTTTAAAAATATCCTAGTAGCCTCAAAGAATTAATGAAATACAACTAAAACATCCCATCTGAACCCAGAGTCCTGTTTATCCTGCCACATGGGCTCTTACTTTCCCAAAGACATCTTTCATTCATGAATTCTCCATGGCAACAGATCACAAAAGCTGGGTGCATTTCTCCCAAGATCCCACTGTCATCACCAGTTAAAGGAGATTCTGTGCATGCAAGGGATGCAAACAGAAGGAACTCATAGTGGGTTCCCCCAATTACTCTGCCACATCCCGACTCCCAGGCCAGTTGTTTCATGTTGAGACTCAGGTGCCTCATCTGGGAAGTGAACGATTGATACTGAGTTCCATCCTCCCACTGCTCCCATGGAGTAATTGAGTAGCGAACGCAAAAACAAAAGGGAAAAAGTGATATCTAGGTTGGCTTCCAAGAGAGGGGTATTGGGCAGTGGAAGTGGTCAGTTAAAAGAGGCCCAGGGAAAATAAACCTTGGGTGTCAACGCTTACTCAATTTAAGTCAATTGAAATTCACACCCAAGACTCCAAATAACTTTAATAGCACTTGCAATTATTGAGAATTTCCCTGAGTACATTGCACACATGTTGTCTAATGGGTCTTTATAGCACTCACCCTTTCACAACCAAGACAGTGACATCTGCAGAAGGGAAATAAGTTTCAAAGGCACTGGGCAGAGAAGCCCCAATAGAACCTAGACTGCTAGCTTCTAGAACCTGGCTCCAGATTATCTTCAAATCACTCAGCTACAGATATTGCCCAATGCCTAGAAAAGCCTTGAGCTGTCTTAACTCTGTCAGGTCTCTAAGGTCTTTCCCTGGGGAAGGTGCTATGAACTGTAATCCTTGTCGTGTTTTCAGCCCTTTTCAATTTATATGGCAGCTCCCCACCTGTAATAGCATGTGAAAATCAAACAACACTGAGGAAAAAAACAGCAGAATTATTATCCCCACTTTACAGGTGAGAATATAGAGTCCCAAAGTAACCCAGCCAGCAAGGGAAGGAGTCGTGACTCCAAGCCAGGTCAGCCTGACTCCAGGCTCAGGATTCTAAACCATCTCAGCGTCCTAAGCAGTGTAGACAACAGAGCGGCTGTGGTCCAATGTCCTACCACTTGACTGCCCCCTCTCCCCACCTTTCTTTGCAGCTCTGGATGGTCCGTCCAGCCTGGTGACAGCCAACATCACTGATTCAGAAGCCTTGGCCATGTGGCAGCCAGCCATCGCCGCTGTGGACAGTTACGTCATCTCCTACACAGGAGAGAGAGGTAAGGCCCTGCCCAAGACTCCCCCCACTCAGATAGCCCCGCACAACTCTTCCACCGCTTCCTCCATTCTCTGTGCCATTTGATACAGGACTACCAAGGCACATGGGTAGGTTGGAAAGGTCAGTCATGTCCTTGGGACTCTTCAAATGCAACCTCGGAGGAGGCCAGTAGACCACTGAACACAGCAACAGGGAAACAAGGCCCACCTCCAGCCTCCGCACGTCTTCCTAGCCTGATTCTTCCTCCCAGCTAGTGTCTCTGCCTGTTGGTGAGAGATGCCATCTCTGGCAAGCAGTTCTCATCCTCCACCAAGGAAGAGAGATCAGACTATTTCAGACTACACTGGGGCGCCTGTGTGTCTTTGAGGCCACAGAAGAGACCCACTGCAGCAAATCTAATTGAAAAATCTGAAATGATTTCTCTTTGTTTTTGCAATAAGCCTTTTCAATTCACCCAGTTGGCAAATCAAACACTCACTCAGGATACCAGCAAACCAAGATCACCAGAGAGTAAAATCAGATATAAATAAGAGAGAATTCTTTTCAATGAACCCACCAGTAATTTTTTAATGAGCTATTCTAGAAAGACCTCTCCTCTTTCAACTGCCTGGCCTATATCAGTTTCATATTTTACAGTTCAGTAGCATTTTGTTTGCAATGACAACCTGCATACTCCACGGTGGAGTATGTGTCTGGGAACACAGGTGCCATTACCTGTGCCTGGTCCTTTGAACATTTTAACTCAGGCCTGGTGACTGCCTGAGAGCATTCTTTTATGAAGACAGAACAAAGCTGGGGGTGGGAATATATTTGGGCTTATTCCTTTGGCCCTTTAATTCTTATTCCTGTAAGTGAATTTTTCAGAAAACTTCAGGTGTTTTAAGTCTCAACTAAAATAAGTCAGGGTATAGTTTATGGGAATCACGGAAACTGTGTGTTTGGGTTTCAAAAAGGCTTTGGTCCAGAGGGGACAAGGGGCTCCCGGAGGACAATGTGCAGTGGCCCACTTGTCCCAGTTTGCAAGGGGCTTTCCTAGTTTTCACACTGAAAGTTCCATGCCTGGAAAACCCCTCCGGTCCTGGCAAACCAGGTGGCTGATGGCCTAGGATTAGGAAATAAACAGACACACCTGGCCACTGTGGGTTCATTTCCACCACTGGACGTTGACCCAGAGGGCCTGAGAGTTAGCAAGGAAACATGAGGCTTTGTGGCCCCTGATTTAACCACATTTGGTGAATTACAAAAGGACATGTGAAAACGTTTAAGGAGATGGAAATACTAACAAATGAGTTGATCATTACACACTTTGTGACGCACTGAATTATCACATTGTACCCCATCAATGTGTGCAATCAAGCCATTTTTAAATGGACTTGCGAGTTAATGGAAAAGCAGAGAGAGTAAGCAAAGGAACAAATTAAACTGGGGGTGGGGAGACTCGAGGCTCGGGATGCTACCTGCAACTCTCCTCTTGCCGGTTCTTGTGTGTCAGCCTCAAAGCGGTTCCAGCCGCTTTACCACGTGGAAAACAATTTTCTGACCCCCAGTTCCCCTTCCCTCTGATTTGGTGCCTGGAAAAATCCGCTCTCCATATGATAAACTCTTTGCATATGAGGTGAGTGCCCAGGAGAGGGAAAGGAGCGTGAGTCGTTCCAGAAATCAAACCTGCTTTTCCGCGGGTCACTGGAAGTTTCTGAGAAGGAGGCAGTGCGCTCTTTGCCAAGATCGCTGATGGCTCAGACAGGGAGAGGTAATGGCCTGGCTTCGCGTATTTCATGTGCAGCTCCGGAAATTACCCGCACGGTGTCTGGGAACACGGTGGAGTATGCTCTGACGGACCTCGAGCCTGCCACGGAATACACACTCAGAATCTTTGCGGAGAAAGGTCCCCAGAAAAGCTCCCCCATCACCACCAAGTTCACAACAGGTACGAACAAAGCCCCCTGACAGCCGGGGGCATCTTTCCCAGATGCCCACCCACTGCCTGTTCCTTCAGCGGCAACCCCTGGCCAACTCTTCTCTCTTAAGTCAGGCCCTTGCAATGTGATGACCTTAGCATCGGTTAAACTCGCCCGTGCCCACTCAATCAGGGCCTGCAGAAACACACCGCTTCCTTTTGAACTGAAATGACCCCGTTCTCCCCACGGGCACGGAGAAGATTTCAAGAGGAGGGCTTATTAAGTGGAAAAACAGTTCTCCCCTCCCCCAGCCCTAAATCCAGCCCTTTATGATCCCTGTTCCAGGCAAGGAAATATTTTTGAACAGAAAGGCCAGTTTTCCTAGATGTCCGTCCGGTGTTTATGCACTGAGACCTTTTTACAAACCTCAGATGGCAGGGAAGTGGTCTCAGGCCAGTGAGTTGGATGTTGGCCCTCATCTGTCCTTCTACCTAGAAGCAAGGGGTTGCTACTGATGTTTGCAGCTGTACCTGTCGGCCCAAATCCAACCGAGACCCGTCAAGACCATGCTGTGCTATGCAAACCCAGCCCTGAGGGTGCTGTGAGCCATGGAAAATCACAGGGCTCAGTTCTGGGCTAAGATTGGTCCTAAATTAATTTTCCGGGTTCTTGCCTTTTACTTAGAGAAGGATTCTAAATACAGGTCCAAACACGGCGGGCAGTGTGATAAACTTTATTTACAAAGTGAGAAAAATACACAGGCCCGTTAGGGCTTTATTAAGGGAGAACGGGCCAAAGAAAGGGAATCATCATACCCTGTTCTGCTCATCCTGAGCCCATGAGCAGGCGTGCAGGCAAGCACGTTTTAGAAAAGCGGAAGTGTTTCCGTGGCACCGCCCCCACATCCCGGGTAGGAGGCAGTACTTCCTGCGGAGGGGTCCCCTGATTGACTGGTAGGTGAACATGGCAACACAGAGGAAGGAGGTACGGCTTCCAGCCCATGAACGTAAAATTATCTGTCTAAGCTTTCCCACATCAGCTTGACCTTCTCATCTATAAGGAAAGGTCCTTGCCCGCAGTCACGCCCGTCAGTGGTAAGGAGCCTCTTGACGCCCAGCTGAGATTCCTGTCCGTCACTTGCTGACCTATGGCGCTATCCCCTGTCGTGTCTTTTCCAGACCTCGATTCTCCAAGAGACTTGACTGCAACCGAGGTTCAATCAGAAACTGCCCTCCTCACCTGGCGACCTCCCCGGGCCTCCATCACTGGTTACCTCTTGCTCTATGAATCTGTGGATGGAACAGTCAAGGTATGTTGAAGAACGTAAACCAGCCTGCACTGCTGCTGGGAGAATGCGCGTGGTCTTTAACACGGTAAAGCATTACCTCATGCTGTTTCTCTGCCCCAGTGCGGATGGGAAGCAATAATAATAATAATAATTAGTAGGGACCAGACACCATGCCAGGCCTTCAGAATAAAACCCTCCAGCCTCCCTCACTCTAACCAGACCCCAGCTCTGCCAGCCAACCAACTAAGAACCACTGCCTACAAGACTTGAGGATGCTTTAGGAGCTGGACTCTTGGTCCTTCCATGTTTCTGAGCAAAGACCAAGAGCTGCTTCTGCGTCTTTGCCAAATATTTGATCTCACAAGTGGTTTCTTTATATATTGCAATATATTTTACCATGTGCTCATGACATCAACTTAAATCTGTTTATATTTGTTGTTAATATATTTATATGCTTCCCCATAATTTTTCATCCACTTTAAAAAATTAAGTATTTCCATTTTATTTTTGAAATATATATATATATAAATATATATATATAGCCTCAGATCTTGGGATATATATATATATCTTCCATCTGCTGGTTCACTTCCCAAATGCCTGCAACAGCCAGGGCTGAGCCAGGCTGAATCCAGGAGCCTGAAACTCAATAGTAGGCTTCCATGTGGGTGTCAAGGACTCAAGCACTTGAGCCATCACCCGCTGCTTCCCAGAGTGCAGACTAGCAGGAAGCTGGATTGGAAGTGGAGCTGGCACTGGAACCAGCCACTACCATAAGGGATGCTAGCATCCCACACAGTAACTTTTAACCTTTTCACCAAACACCTGCCCCTCTTTTGCTTTTTAATTTGAAATAACTGTAGATCTTCATTCAAGTGGAAAAAAAAAATTAACTTTTACCTTCTAAATTGATATTGAGTTTTTCACTTATCCCACTTTTTATTTCCAAGATATTTTTTCTGATTCTCTGCACATTCATCTTTTTCTGGCATATTGTTTGTGTTTTGTGTTTCATCTTCTTTTACTCATGATACACTTTGTTGGTATTGTATTGTACAGCTTGCATAGTTGCTGCTCTCAACTTTCGTTTTTCCCTGTTTCACTGTTGTTTTAGTTCAGTTTGGATTTAGGTCTCCCTCTTTTATGTTGGAATCGACCACCAAGTGTCTGTTGGTCCTCCTTCATCCTTCTGTACTCGAACCAAGAATGAAAGAAGTAATTGGGAGTTCAGCTGCATAGTAAGGGCTCGCCAACAGGAGGGGGTTTAGCAAGGAACCAGCAATTTTATTGGGAGGCCCCAAATAGCAGTGCTACAAAGCCTGCATTCTCACTGTGTACAAACCTTCAGTTCATCTTATATTTCCAGGGCCACACCTCAGCCTTCCCAGGATCTGAGGCCAGTAGATTTGAATCCAGAGCCTCTTCTCTGGCTCAACCTCTCTAGAGAGTAAACCTCAGCTTTCCATCTGGAATGAGAGAGATCAGCCAATCTGTTTCTTATACAAAGCTTCTGAACAAAACAGACCTTTGTCCAGCCACACCCTACAGTGGCCTTCAAAGAATTTTGGCTTTTGTAGATTTTGGCATTCCTGAACTTGCAGAACTCCCTGGCAGACATCAGCCAGCCTCCAATTGGCTCTGCCCATTGTTGTTGAGTAGCCCCTCTCCCCCGCCGCATCTCTATTCTGCCCCTCAGGGGTCTCTGCATCACCTACTTTCCATCTAAGCTGCTGTTGCTGTTATGTGTCTGTGGCTGTCTTCTCTTCCATTGCCTTCATCTTGGTGGATTTCTTTGTACCTTACATCCTTTATTCTGATCTTAGTGGGCATCAGAAGCAAGTCAAATGAGAACACAGAACTGTCACATCTCTGAGGTCCCCTCCCGGTCATGCATTCCAGGATCTGTGTCCACCTGAATCATGAGCCTCACTTCAATCTACCCTGATAGCCTAGGAAACAGCTGCACAGCAGCCTGGAGAGCTGACTGGTAATTGTATCTGCAAGTAATTCAATGAGCCCAGCTTTGTGTCTGACAGGTGATCCTTCCCCCAGGGGCCAGACCTGGGGGCCGCACCAGGGTCGGTGGGTCACTGACATTAAAGAGGCATTCACCCCAAATGCCTTTCCCACATGGCCAATCCACAACTTTATGTGTCTTACTCAAGCAGTCAACTTTGTATAGGACAAAAAGTCCTGGGCAGGAATTCCTTGTGTATCAACTGTTAATGGTGAATATGTTTGTTATTGGTGTTGTATACTGCGACCTGCCTAGTTTTTCTTCCAAGATTTTTTTTTTCTGTGTTTCATTGTATAGTTTGGTTTGGCTTGTGAAACCAGGATGCAAGACTATTCTCTACCACCCAAAATTATGGAGTAGGGGCAGTTCTCTTAGGTTCTCTGACACTCACAGGGTCCAGCCACAAACTACAGGTTGAGTAGGCCACACACCTGTGTTTCCTGGGTGTCTCTGTTCTGGAAGAGATGCAGGGTAGGTTAGCTCTAACCTTCATGACACGGTGCCTACTGAGCTCTTAAAGTCACCTGTGGACTCGAGAGGTTCCCAAGCTGACTACACAGCAGAATCATCTGGGGAGTTTCTTATCCATGACCCCATTCCTTGCAATGATCAACTTTAAATTGCATGGCTTAGCACTTAAGGCCCTGTGCAGTCTGGTCTTTGCCCACCTTTCCCACTGCTTCTCTACCTAAAACCATGTATGGTTGAAGTAGGTGTTGCCTCTTCACATTATATTAATTTACTCTGCCCCCAGGACCTTTGCTCATGCTGTACTCATCTCATCTCTGACATTCCAGCTGGGCACAGGTAGCCTGGCACAGAGGAAGTACTCAGTGGATTTCTGTTGAATGAATTTATGGGTGAATGAATGTCTCCATCGTTTATACCCTGAGAATCTCTGTGGCTAAAAGCTACTCTCCTCTTCCTTCTGCCCTTAGGAAGTCATCGTGGGTCCAGAAACCACCTCGTACAGCCTGGCTGACCTAAGCCCATCCACCCACTACACAGCCAAGGTGCAGGCACTGAACGGGCCTCTGAGGAGCAAGCTGATCCAGACCATCTTCACCACAAGTAAGAGGGCCCAGGAAGCATCCAGCCTTGGGATCCAACCTGCTGACAAAGTCAAAGCTGCACTTCCTCTTTGACTTCTGCTTCAACTTTTTCAAACAAATCTATGAAAACTATCAATTTCTTTATATAACCAGGAAGCCCAAGGAACATGGGCATGGATGAGGAGGTAGTTTATGGACATCCAGTAGAAGGGAAGAAGGGCTGGCAACAAAACCATCTGGGTTCAATCCCCATTTCCACTGCTTGTTCTGTGTGCCTTAGGAACATCACTTCCATTCTACAAGCCTCAGTTTCTTCATCTGTACAATGGGATTATAATCCTCCCTTCCTTTCGAGGATCTTGTATGGGTCACTGAGGTTTTACAGTTAGTTGTACTCCTAGTGAAGTGTGTGATGCATATAACTGGGTGGCTCTTTAATACGTAGGACTCAATACAAGCTTGGGATCCCTTCTCTTCTCCTTCAACCAATTAGTATTTACAAAGCCTTCCAGTTTCAAACGAGTTCAATGGGCCAGGATTATCATGCCCAACCTCCTGGTGCAGACAGCAAGGCTCCAGAGACTAATTGACCGCTCAAGGCTGCATTGCGAGTTAGAGTTAGAGTTGGGCTTGGTAATCCAATGCCAAGAAGCCTACCCTGCCCCTGCCCCTGAGTAACCCCTGCAAGTAGCCAGCAGGCAAGTTGTTCTGCTGCTGAGAGACGGCATCCACTCATGAGGAAGGGAGGAGCTCCCCTTTGGAAAGCCCTGAACCAGGATACCTTGAGTGCACCCCAGCAATGCCCCACCCTTCACATTTCACTAGACAGAAGAGGATGTATCCTCTGTGCCAATCTTAGGTCAGGTGCTTAGAGCACAAAATAGAAGTGTGTCCTAAAGGAATTTTAAGACTAGGGCTGTGAAATAAATAAGAAAACAGCTCCTGATTCAACCTCAAGGCAAGGAAATGGATGCACATCAGGGGATGGTGTTAGATCAGAAATAAAGAACTCATGACCATCACTTCTCCAGCCCTCAACTAAGCACAGCCCAAAGATGGCCCCTTTCTATCAAGTGTGTATATTTTTGTATCACATTGCTGAACTTGGAACGTCCCAGGCATTCTTGGTTTATCGCCCTTGAATTCCCAGCCTCAGATCAGTTAAATGACCTCTTCAGTGCCACACAGCCAATCAGTGGCAGGTTCAAGACTGGAGCCCTTGTCTTAGAATAATCTAAAGAGGCTAAGATGTGTGTTGTGGGTTGAAATATATTTGTCTGAGGGGCTGAAAGAGCCAAAGCTTTGGTCAGACACTCAAAGCAACTTGCACCCTAATTAAGGTCCCCTGATCCGTGGTTGAGTTACTCACCTGGCTGGTACCTGGATGTCCATCAGGTGCTACTTGGCTGCTTCAGGCAGGTCCAGGTTAACGTGACACGTCCCCTTCACAGAAGCCCTGCTCTTCTACCAATGGATGACTTCCATCATTATAAGGGCTCAAATTGGTTCCCTTATGTCCATAACCTCTAATCCTCACAGTACCTCCAAGGTCGATTTTATCCCCATCTTACATATGAGGGAACAGAGACTCAGAGAGGCCAGTTTGCTTACCCGTGGGAGTCTAGCCAGTAAATCGCTGGGCTGCAATAGGGAAGCTCTTAGCCCATTCCCCCTGCTCTGAGCTTTGTTTTTTCTCCTTATCTTGCAGTTGGACTGCTGTACCCATTCCCCAGGGACTGCTCTCAGGCAATGCTGAATGGAGACACAACATCTGGCCTGTACACAATTTACCTGAATGGTGACAAGGCCCAGGCACTGGAAGTCTACTGTGACATGACCTCTGATGGGGGTGGATGGATTGTGAGTATCACCTTGGACTCCAGAATTCTCAGGGCTGGAGAATGGGCAGAGAGGGCCCAGCAGGGGATGGAGGAGGGGTTTTCCCTCTCCCAAAGAACTCTAACACCGATGTACCTGAGGTTTTGCAAGAGAGCACCTGTCACATAGAGGTACTCGGGAATAGGAAAGAAGCTGGGGATATATAAAAGTAATTTCCTTATAATTTATTTCACCTGACCTGCATCTAACTCTATGATATATAAATGACAGGGCTCATCAAAATCATGAGTTGTGTTCATTGGAAAAGACTGAGCATCTACTGGCTTCCAGTCACCGTGTTAGTAGTTTTCCAGGAATAAATTCAACCCCACTACCCTACAAACTGGGTAGGATTTTTTTCTAATTGATAAACTTTTATTTTTTTTTTTCAGAATAGTTTTAGGTTCATTTTGAAATTGATCAGAAAGCAGAGAGTTCCCTGATACTTCCTGTCCCCACACCATACACGGGGTCTCCCACCATCTACTTCCTGCTCCAGAGTGGCGTGTTTGCCACAAGGAATGAGCCTATGGTGACATATCACTATCACCTCATGCTGGGGAGTTTGTTAAGTTCATGTTTTTTCAGGTGAGATCACCAAGGTTTAGAGAGAGAAAGTGGCTTACCCAAAGTCACAGGGCAAATTAGTGATGGACAGAGTTGTGAACAGGTCCTGTGTCCTCAGTCCCATGTTTCTTCCTCTCAGGAAGTTGCCTGCTATTTCTCTCGATAACCTAAGCACATCCAGGTTCATTGATTATGTTCCTAGGTGTTCCTGAGACGCAAAAATGGCCGTGAGGACTTCTACCGAAACTGGAAGGCCTACGCTGCTGGGTTTGGGGACCGCAGAGAAGAATTCTGGCTTGGTACTGCATCCCTGCACTTCTGAATCTGAAATATCCCTTTCTGCCCTCCTTGTCATTCTTCCTAACCCACAGTGACCCATGGGGGAAATGAACTAGGAGGGGAAAAGATCTGGTAGTAGGCAGACCACCAGACTCTCAATGGAAAAGACTATTTAAATGGCTGAGGATCTTTCAAATAAAACCCTGCTCAAGGGAAATCCAACCTCCAGGCCAACCTAGGGGTGGGTGTTTGGCACAGTGAGTAAGAGGTGCACGTTCTATGTCAGAGTACTTTGGTTCAAGTCCCAGCTCTGCTCCTGATGCTAGTTTCCTACTGATGTGCACCCTGAGGAGTACCAGGTGATGGCTCCCTCATGGGAGACCTGGGTTGATTTGCTGACTCCCTGGTCTAGACCCAAACATTGTGAGCATTTGAAGAATGATTCAGCCATCATCTGTCTACTTGTCCATCTACTCCACTCACTTTTTCCAACAACCATCTACATGGAGCATTGTTCTGTGCGCCATTGCCTTTATCACACATTGCCTTGTATTTCTACTTCTGCCTTTATCACCCATTGCCTTGTATGTGTAAGGAGCTTTAGAGTTTAAAAGATGCTTTGATCACCTTATCCCCTTTGATCTTCTCAATACTCTAGGCTGTTGGAATAACAAAAATGTCAACCCAATTTTACCTGAAGTTCAAAAACATCATCTGTATTTACTTGATGTTGTATCCGTAAGGAACAAACCAAGTTTTAAGCCCAAGTCTGTGTGATGGGAACCTCTTTCAAGTACACCACCTGCAGCTCTTACAGGGTACAATAAAATCAATGGCTTGGGTCACTTTGGCTTCTCAGCAACCCTTGCCTGTCATCCACAGGTCTGGACAACCTCAGCAAAATCACAGCCCAGGGGCAATATGAGCTGCGAGTGGACCTGAAAGACCATGGGGAGACAGCCTTTGCCGTCTACGACAAGTTCAGCGTGGGAGATGCCAAGACTCGCTATCGGCTGAGGGTGGAGGGCTACAGTGGGACAGCAGGTAGGTACAGGGCAGCCACACTCAGAGCCTCCAAAACCACAGAAACCTGGCTGGTGTCTTCTGCTACTTCCTCTTCTCCTTCCTTCATTCAGTCAACAAATATTTGAATACCTAGTAGGTGCTAATGCAGAAGAGCTGTAATTGAAAGGGTTAGGCAGGTGATAGGAAATAGACATAGGGTCGTTGGGAATCAGGCCAACCAAGATAAATTTATAACTACCTTCATTCAAAATCTGTGTCTTTGGTATCCATTTATGAATGTCCATTATATAGAATTGGAAAACCAGTATCTTGGGGTCTTTAATATTCAGCTAATCCAGGACATCTCAATTTATTATGGGCATATGACCAGTGTGGAGTGAGGCCAGGATGCTACATTACTTGTGCTGCTACATTTCTGGTGCTGCTGCTGTTGCTGCTGTATAAACCACGCTTTGAGTAGCAAACACTCTACTCCATCACCTCACTACTTGACTCTCTTCTAAGATACCCTTGCCATGCAGGTCATACAACTCAGCCTGCAGACACTATGACCAGATGCTCCCTACTCCCAACGGGCCCTTTCATTCCTTGTCTGGTTCATAATCCTAGTCCAGGTTTTGAAGATTTCTTTGGCTTGAAATGGCCTCTTGTGTGGTTTTCTGGTTCCACGTTAGAGGAGAAAGAAATAAGGAAAAAGGAAATAAGGAAAATAAAGAAATAAGGAGAAAGAAATAAGGGCCCAGTGGTAAGGCCTTCTGGGGAGCAGCCTCTTAGGTAGCATTTCACCTGCATTATCTCTGCTTATTCCTCAAGAAGATTATTTCAGGAAGGTCCTGCTAGCTTACACTCAAAGAAGCAGGCCCAGGAAAGCTTGTGGACTTGCCCAAGGTGAAGCAGCTCACGAAGGCAATGCAGGTGCCTGCAGAGAACTTTGAGCAGCCCTGCTCTTGGCAACAAAGAGGAAACAGGGGTGAGAGCGGGGACCACCCATGCCCACTTTGAGTGGCTTTTGTTCATGTTTACGAAAACATAAGAGACAGATACTATGGCACATTTCCAACCTCTCTAAGCCCTGAAAGAAAACACCCATAAATGGAAGAATCCCTGGATGAGGGGTTGCCAAAAGCCAGGCTCCCATCTAAGGGAGGCACAAAGCTCTCTTGAGATGGGAGTTTGGTGGTCACAAAGGGAGATACCCAGGGGCAAGTTTGGTTTTCCTTCTTGCATTCCTCAAAGAATTCTGACATTACCTCAGCTGGAGCTGCCTTCAGGCGAGAAGGATATTGTTACATGCAGAGAAAGTCACCCAGCAGGAGGAATGTGGCCCCAGTCCATCTCCGTTTGTATTTCCAATGTCAGAGGAACCTTAGTAATTCGCATTAGCAGGACAACCCTAGGAGGCCTGCATTTCTCTGTGCCTGGCCTCCTGTTTCCTCTCCCTTCTCTTGTTCTGCCTGCCATTCTCCTTTTTTTTTTATTTTTTTTCTTGTTATTTCTCTCATGACAGGCAGAGTGGACAGTGAGAGAGAGAGACAGAGAGAAAGGTCTTCCTTTTGCCGTTGGTTCACCCTCCAATGGCTGCCGCGGCCGGCGCGCTGCGGCCGGCGCACCGCGCTGATCCGATGGCAGGAGCCAGGAGCCAGGTGCTTTTCCTGGTCTCCCATGGGGTGCAGGGCCCAAGCACCTGGGCCATCCTCCACTGCACTCCCTGGCCACAGCAGAGGGCTGGCCTGGAAGAGGGGCAACCGGGACAGAATCCGGCGCCCCGACCGGGACTAGAACCCGGTGTGCCGGCGCCGCTAGGCGGAGGATTAGCCTAGTGAGCCGCGGCGCCGGCCACTGCCTGCCATTCTCTTGCTCATCAGTCCAACAGGTGCCCAGGTTCCTTTGAAAACTTGCTGTGAAGTATCAGGGTAGAATTCCTCAGCATCTTGATTTTTGGGGGGATACCACACTTGGCCCTGGGTGGGAGTGAGGGGTCACCAAAAGAAATGGCACTGAATCACTCCTCCTATTCAATATACCAAATTACAACCTAGAGTCCCAGATAGTGTGATCTATAAATGAGCTTTTTGTCTAAAAATAAGAGAACATTGGTCTGATAAACACTTCAAAGATATAACTGAATGTTACACAGACTGTTGGGCAACATCTAAATCTTGAAAGGGCTTAATTATAAGTGTGGCTATAAATACTTGTCTGTGAGGGAAGCATTATTAAATGCAGATGTTTCACCTTATTCTCTGAGGATTTTTATATAAAAGGAATGCAGAAAAATCATTTTAAAAACTACATTCATAATAACTAATTGCACACCACTCTCAGTGTTTATACAGGGCACCTTCATGTCCAGTGTCACAGCAGCCCTGGGAGGTAGAATAGACTGTACTTGCTAGTACCATTTTATAGGTGAGAAAACTGAGAGCAAGCTAGAGGCGTAACTTGTGCAAGGTCACAAAGGCTAATGAGTAATTGAACTGGAACTGGGGGCTGAGCCTTCGAAAGCCACCTACAGCCACCTTCAGGCTTTTTTTTTTTTTTTTTTTTTTGACAGGTAGAGTAGACAGTGAGAGAGACAGACAGAGAGAAAGGTCTGTTCCCATTGGTTCACTCCCCAAATGGCCGCTACAGTCAGCGCTGCGCTGATCTGAAGCCAGGAGCCAGGTGCTTCTTCCTGATCTCCCATGCAGGTGCAGGGGCCCAAGCACTTGGGCCATCCTCCACTGCACTCCCAGGCCACAGCAGAGAGCTGGACTGGAAGACGAGCAACCGGGACCAGAACCCGGTGCCCATATGGGTTGCCAGCGCTGCAGGCAGAGGATTAACCAAGTGAGCCATGGCGCCGGCCCCAACCTGCAGGCTTCTTTCTTCCACTTCATGCTGCCTCTATCAGAAATGAGCCCTGGGTGTGATGCTCATGCCCTGCCCAGCCCTGCGTTCAATCGTGACTCGAAGGCCAGCGTTGAAGGACCCCGTTGTTTTCACCTTGGCACTGCCCTTCTGAGATTCCAGCTGGGATCTCTCTGATCCACATCTCCTTTCTCTCACTCTCTCCCAGGGGACTCCATGGCATACCACAATGGCAGGTCCTTCTCCACCTTCGACAAGGACACAGACTCAGCCATCACCAACTGTGCCCTGTCCTACAAGGGGGCTTTCTGGTACAAGAACTGCCACCGTGTCAACCTGATGGGCAGATACGGGGACAACAACCACAGTCAGGTGAGAGGACCGTGCGGGCCCTGGGCGGGCAAGGCTTGGGAAGGCACTGGGGACTGGGGAAGGGCAACTCAGCCCCTCCACGCTGGCTGGGATTAAAAGGCACAACCTCAGAGACACAACAAGGGCAACGTGCTTCTCCCAACACTACAAGAAATCTCAGTGGCCCTGCAGATTGGGTAAAAGAGGAATGGTACATGTTGACTCTTGGAGATCCCAGGGAGAACCCCTGGTAGAATTCAAAAAGCTATCGTCAAGCAAAATCTCTGAACCCTCACATGAGGCTAAAGCAGGGATGATGCAGAGCCTGGAGGTGCCCTGGCCCAGATGTAGCTTCAGAACCCCAAGAATACCTTAAAATGAAGTCCACGGATTTTTTTTAAGGTACCGAGACCCACAGAAAGGTGACATTCCTTGGATCACAGAGAGAAATTAGAAGCAGAGTCAAGTCTCCCCAGTTTCAGTCCCTGGGGCAATCCTAAGCCACATATAACTGTTCCCCAACTTCAGGAGTCACAGAGGCAGACTTTGGAGGTTCCCTTTAAAAAAAAACAGGTGATGAGAACAAATCCTATAATCCACCCCACACTGAGATCTGCCTGCACCTGCATGGGCCGGAAAGGCAGATAAAGTCAAGTAGAGCCAGCTACTGAGCCAGGACCAAGTCCCTGCCCTCGTCCCTTTTCCGAGGCTTGTCCGCATTCCAGGGAGAAGGGGTGGAGGTTCTCACAGGGCCATGCCGCATTGGTCCCTGGACCTCAATGATTCTTGCCCGTGCTGCTCTTCAGGATCCCAGGGGCTTTATAAAAACGCCAAGGTCCAGTTAAATCTGACAGCCCCAGCGATTCTGAGGCTACAATCTCAGGTGGGCTGCAGCATCTCACCTTGTTTATGTGTGCTGTTCTCTTGTGGTTTGTGTGCTTTTTTTCTTTCGGTAGGCTCCAGGGGTGACTTCCGACTGGCAGCAGATGTTGGAAGCTGCTGTTCTCGGTTACCAGTCACTTTGAGACTTGTGTTTATACCTGGGGTGACTGCTAGCAAATAACACCTGTGACCTGAAATGTTGATCTGACCTTGACATCATGGCTGATCCTTCTCAGCACACTCTCACCTTCTCCGTCTCATGTTCTCTTCACCACGTGAGAGAATCACAGCATGGTTTCTCAGGCTCCTGTGACGGAGAAGGCAAGAGTTAAGACATCTCTCGAAACCAGTCCACTGGTGTTTCCATCTTCTTGGGCTGCTTGAATAACACTTCCCCTGGGAGTTTATTCCATTGTCACCCTTTATTGCCCTGTTCCCCCTGTTCCAGAGGCCTTCTACAACAAACAAAAAAGCTACATGTCTTTTCCCATCCTTCCATGGATGACGTAGAAGGGCACACAGGAGTCACAGGAGCTCGGTCCCAGCTCTGGCTCTGCTCGGGCCACTGTAAAGCATCTTACCCTCTCTGTCGCCCATCCCCGTCCCAACACAAGCCTGCTCTTTCTTACAGGGGGTTAACTGGTTCCACTGGAAAGGCCACGAATACTCAATCCAGTTTGCTGAGATGAAGCTGAGACCCAGCAACTTCCGGAATCTCGAAGGCAGGCGCAAACGGGCGTGACTTCCAGGGACAGCTGGGAGAGAGAGGAGTAGAGCCCAGAGAATGGAAAGAAGTTTACCAAAGCATCAATACCGCCGGTCCAACCACCAGGTCAGCCACACTGCGGCCTTTGGCAAGAGTCCCAGCTGACGACGGAGCATCGATGCACTGGTATCACCCACTCTGCGATTCCTTCCTCCACACCAAAGACCACAGCCTCCAGCAGGTTTCTGTTCTGTTGGTGGATTCAGCAAGAATCTGCCAGTGAACAACACAACCGTTTTTACTTCTCTTGGGTGATTCTGGGAATGGGAGAGGGGTGGGTTGTACAATGGTAGTTTATTTTAGAACAAGCCGTATTTTACACAAAGCTGTATAATTAATTATCATTATTTTTGTTAGCAAAAATTAAATGTGTGTCATTGGAAGCTGCCACCCCTCCCCCATCCATTTTTTTACATTTCATACAACAGAAACCAGAAAAGCAATACTGTTTTGATTTCAAGGATATGATTAATATTATTAATATAATAATGATGATGGTGATGCAAACTAAGGATTTTTAAGGAAATATTCCTTTCAAAACACATCTGGACAGTACCTGGTTGTATTTTTTTTTTTAATAAAAGCACAAGTACTTTTGAGTATGGCTGTTATTTTGCCTTTCATGGTTGAGTCTGAAATTCCACCAAAGCCAATGCATTTGAATAAAAGCAGGAATGCTAGAAAGATGAGATGGGGGTGGGGGGATGGGGGGGTATGGTCCTTTGGGAGGGACAGGAGAAATAGGAGACTATAGGCTGGGAGAGAGAAAAATATTTATGGGGAAGAGGTTGGAATACAGCTTATAACTTAAGATTCAGCTTCTTGCTCAGCATTTCTTAGAATAATAGTTTATGTTTTAAAATATGCTTTTAGAGGAGGGCATTTGGCACAAGTGTTCCGACGCCACTTGGGATGCCCACATCCCACACTGGAGTTGCCTGTATTCGAGTCCCAGCTCCGCTTCTGATTGCAGCTTCCTACCAATGAACACTCTTGGAAGATAGCAGGTTATAACTCAATTAGCAGTATTCCTGCCCCTGATGTGGGAGACCGGGATTGAATTCCTAGCTCCTGGCTTCAGCCTAGCTCAGCCCTGGCCGTTGCAAGCATTTAGGGAATGAATCAACAGAATAAAGACTCTCTCTTCTTCTTCTTCTGCTTCTTCTTCCTCCTCCTCCTCTCTCCGTCCCTTCCTCCCTTTCAAATGAACAAAATAAATAAATTAAGCAATTTTTAAAATAAAACTTGCTGTTATACCCATTTTCTGATGCAACCTCCTTGAAATACTAAGATGTAACCTGAGGTGAGGATTATTGTCAGGCTGCCTGAGTTCATGCCTTGACGCCACCCTTTTCCCTAATCTCTCCCTGCCTCAGTTTCCTCTTCTGAGGATCACATTCTTTCTGTAAAATTTAAATACGCCATCTATATAAGGCCTGTAGCATGCTGTTTTACATTAATTAATTCTAAACTAAGTATTGGCTGTTACTGCTATCATTTTATATAGGATGGACTGGGGTTCATAGAAATACATCAACTTGGCTGTGAGTACTCGCCTGATTAATAACAGGGTAAAGATTTAGGTCCCGTGCCTCCTGGCTCCAATGCACCTGCTGTCTCCCAGGCCGTTGACGAAGATCTCGCCTTGCTGAGGACCTGTGTGCCATGGGGATTGAGGGCAGGTTTCATACTGAGGGCTGTGGGGGACGTTCACCAGGATCCCTCATCAGGCCCCCTACAGTCCTGATTTCTTAGAAGCAATGTCTGTTAGAAATATCTCTTGCCCTTTACACTAAAGTCCCCAATAAGGAAGAGAGCCCAGTGTTTCCAGCCTCAGCATATCCAGTAATAGCAGATCTGTTGGCACCCAGCAACCACAGTGAGGCACAACCACCAGGAGCACATTAGTTCATGGAACAATTCCCAGTTCATTCGCCGATGGGCTTGCAGCAAATTGATTAATTTAATGGAAATATTTGTGCTGATGGGCCTCATTCAAATGGAATGCGAGGTCTCAGAAGCGATGATCAGAGGAATTTGCAGCTCCAGCCAGATCCTTCAGTGTGGAGTTTATCTTGCTTTAATAAATGCTGTCTTGTTAGATACACAATTCGCTGTTCCAGACCCTGAGACCTGTTGCTTGCAGTTCCGCCATAGCAACACTCTCCTGGCTGCCGAAACCCAAACAAATGGGCCCCCTGTAACAACCAAGCCTCAAGTGGGAGACTTAACTCTCTCCAGGCTGCAGACTCCGGAGTCCCTAAGCCCAACTCTTACCCTCTCTGCAGAATTGTAGACACCTCGGCTATCAAGTTGCTCCCCAGATTCTGGCTGCTGACAAAGCCTCATCAAACAGGAGGGTGGCAGATGGCCCCAAATGGAGACCCAAGGGTATGAAGCCACAGAAGTCCAAGCTCTCCCATCAAGTTGAAAGTGTGAGCTCATCGTTTCTCAAACAGATTTGGTCCCAGACTCCCCAGCTAGTTCAGACCACTTCCTTCGTCTGGAAAAGTTTCTTCAAGTTCCATCATACCCTCCAGGTCCAGGTCACTCTCTGCACCCCCCCTCCCCCCCGAGGCAGCCAAACCACCTCCATTGAGAATTCATTTCCAGTATGTACGATCTGTTCCTCCCCAGCCCCCGCCCCCATCTTTTCTCCCCTCCTCTTTAAGCTCTGTACCCTTCAGGGCCACCCCATGTGAATTACATACATCAGTGCTCCCAGGGTTCCCACTGGTTATGAAAATGCCAGTAGGACACTGAACCGGGGAGACAGGCAGTGGAGGGGAGTCAGGCATGTACTTCCTGGCCATTTCCACGGCATCCCTGTGAGCAGTGTCCACCATTAGAGGGGCACAGTGACTGCTAGTTGTGTCCCTCCCCACACCAACCTGTCTTCCGGTTTCAGATAATGGCTCTCCCCACCTGTCCCTTCTGGCCTGGGAGCGGTCTCTGCACCCCAGCTGTTGCTAGGTATGGGAAGCTGTGCCAGCCCTTGTGTCCTCCATACCGCCAACACCTTTGGAAGGAGTCCCTCAACTTAAAGTCTTCTCACAGACCCTGACAGGCTCTTGGGAATGCCTGGGCACCTGGTGCCTGCCTGCCTTATCCATTCTCCTGTCTATTCCAAGCCCGTCTATTCCCTGTGGCAGCCATTGGGTATCTAGTGGTTTCCCAGAATTTGAGAATTTCTCATCTGGTGAGACCTTGCTTCCCACTGTAAAAGTCCCAGGGGGAAGGCTCTTTCCTCCTTCCAGGGCAGCCAGGGTATGGGCACTGAACTAGGGCTTCACCAGTTGGGTACCCACAGAGGGACCTGTAACTTCGAGCAAGGAATGCAAAACAAAGCACACAGGAGCCTGACTTGCCCACGGGCCCTGCATCAGTGGGTTCTGTGACCAGCCCTTGTGGCAGGGGACAGCAGCATCTTCATCTCAAGGGACAATAATTTTCAGCAGGGACAAAGGCACTCTGGCTGATGACTCCTGTGACCTGGCCTCCTTTGGTGCCTGAGAAATTTCTGAGCCTGCATCTCCAAACTTCCACCAAATTTTATGACACCCCAAATCCTTCCAGAAAACCCCTTTTCAGCTTGGGTAGTCTCAGCTGATTTCTGATGCTTGCAGCCAAATGCTTTGACTGGTACTCTCCTCACCTGGACCAGGAGCCCCTCACATTCATCAGCTTTCCTGCACACCTGGCACTCTGCTTGGCGTTTCGATGTTCAAAGTCATCTGAGCATCGTAGGAAACAGAGCCTCATAAAGACCAGGTGACTTGACAAGACTAAAAGCCATGTTGCCTAATTCCAAAATTCAAGTTTGTTTCATTTTCATTTTATTTATTTACTTATTTCAGTGGCTGAGAGACTGGGGGACAGACAGAGAGCCCCATCCACCAGTTCACTTCTCAAATGCCTAAAACAGCCGGGGTTGGACAGGGCTGAAGCCAGGAGCCAGGAACTTAATCGGGGACTCCCATGCAGGTGGCAAGCACCTGAAAACTGAACCATCCCTGCTCCATGCCAGGATGCACATTAGCAAGAAGCTGGAATTGGAAATAGAGCCAAGACTGGAACCCAGGCACTCTGATAGGAAATGTAGACATGTTAGCCAGCATCTTAATTGCTAGACCACCTGCCTGTGCCCAAATCCAAGTCCTTCGCAGTCCAGACATCTCCCTTACTTCAACACACCATGCTCCACTGAGAACAGCACTTCATTCATGTAACAAGTGCTTGCCCAACACGCCTCACACAGAAGAGGTTCAACAGGGAACAAAAGGACCAAGACCCCCACTACGGGGGAACTTACGTTCTAACAAGGAATACTGAGTGATGAACATGACACAGAAGTGAATCAAATGGGCTTTGCAAATGTAAGAAGCTCTGCAGAGAAAGGGAAAAGGTAGGAGAAGGAGCTGTGGAGGCCGGACCCGAAGCAGGGCAGAGGAAGGAGGAAGGGACAATGTAGTTCATGTCTGCTGTATTGAATAGGTGATCGTTGTTCTCATCCAAATGGGGAAATCTAAGTCCAGGCAAGAATCGGGGTTGCCCCAGGAACCACAGTGATTTGGCAATAGATTATGGTCAGATCCTAGGTCATCTTGCTCCTCCTCTAGAGTATCCTGGCTGGCTGTGCTCTCAAGGGAGTGAAATATTGCCAGTTTCCCCTTACTGAGCCTCCTGTGGCCTAAGCCACACCCAGCCATCCGGGACTTCCACCTCCCTCCATTCCTTTGCATCTAGTCCCAGCCAACCTGTCATCCTTCCCACCATACATTGCCTAAGCCCAAAGAATCTGTAGAACCCCTGATAGACCACGCTGATGGGTCTTCCCTAAGGTTCTCACTTCTCATTTCATTTAAAAATAAGTATTGAGTACTCCACCCACCACCTTATACCCAGGACAAAGGGAACAAAATAGCCATGGTCCCTACCCTGGTGCAGCCTCCATGCCAGGAAGAGACTTGGAACAGCCGCAGGGTCAGACCAGCAGATGGATAAACACAAACTGAGCACGGTGCCCCAGGAGCAAGTACAACAGCGCTATGAAGTCTAATGGGGGACCTGATCGCAAAGGCTTCCCTGGAGAAGCAGTATTGGAACCGAGATCTCAACGACAAGTACAAGTTCACCGGGTGTAGGAGGTGGGAGAGGCAAAAGGCTGAGGGCAGAGCAACCCCACGGGTGCAAAGCTGCCAGGCTGTGCACAGCAAAAGCCGTAGGGGAAACAGGAGGTGGGGACCTGGAGGATGAGGCTGCTGTGGCTGGCAGAACTTGGCTGTGCAGGTCTTCTGAGGTCACAGTAAGACTTGGATGCTTCCCTTAAATGCAGTGGAAAGCTGCTAAGGAGTGTTGAGCAGGGGAGCAACACGGCCATCTTTTGTTGCACTTTAGATCAGGGCTGGGAGATGAGGCAGGAAAACTGCCAGAGGAGATGCCTGCAGGAGTCCAGCCGAAGGTTTTGGAGTCTGGCTGAGTGGGCCAGGAAGACAGAGCACATGGTTCTGGGGGATATTCAGAAGGCGAAGCTCATGAGGTTTTGGGACCCCTGTGAGCGCCTCCACGTCCACAGCCCTGTTCTGAGCTGCCCCAGTCC